TGTTCCTATAACAGTTAATATGTTGCAGCTTTAAGTTGTTGGTGTGAAATGACAAAACTAATAGCCAGTATTGTGTAGACACCGAGAGGTAGCTTTTTAAAGTAGGGTTTCAGATTTAGCAATAACTTGGTTTTCCCCATTAAATGCTCTGAGCAGTGTTGTCCCTTACAACTTAAGAGGGAAACGAAAAGTCCTATTAAAAATAGAACTTTGAAGATTATTATATGAAAAAATCTTGACGGCTTATCTTGTGCTGCTCAGTGTTTGGCTAGCAATGCATGAGAAGGAATAAAATGTTCTTTTATAATTAGTTGTCTGTTCTGTATGTAGTAAAGCATTTGTAAGAATGTATTCTATGATTATGGACAGCTTTTCTGAAAGACTGTTTCAAATAACTTCGAAGTATTTTCCCGTATTGCTATATTTTTATAATATAGTAAGAAGCAGAAATTTGGCTAGTAAAACCAAACTTTTTCTGGGTCTTAAATTGGTTATTTATTTTTGTCTTAAATTGACCTTTCATTGATCATAACACATGAATTCTAAGTGTTTAAATATAACATACTTCTCATTATTTGGTCAACAGGAAGAAAAGGGGAAAAATGAATTGAACCCATCATAATAAAAAGTATGATTGTTCTGAACTATGGTAGAGAATACATTTCTCCATAAAATTAATTCATAATAAAGCGTGGAAGTTTTTGAATGTTTTTTGTTGATGTTGTAGACTAAATTTATTCTGTTTGCATCCCACTGTGTCTGTGGGGTGTGACTTGTCTGTAGATAAACCCTTGTTACTGTTTCTCAGTTCCTCCTCCCTGCATCTACCAGCTCTTACCTACCCACAGATAGCCAGGGTAGGACAGGCTCGTTGGTCTGTGTGTTCCAAATCATTAACACCTTATGCATGTGCAGTTCCTTATTAGCTCTGTAGGTGTGTAGTTCATTAAATAGGTGTGCAGCCCTGACACAGGCTTGGGGTGTCTCTGGAGGCTGGTGTTTCAGACTGGTGGGTACAGACAGCACCAGTGCTCACTGGCAGCAGCACTGGGAACAAGACACTTCACCTGAACTGGGCTGAATAGAGTGCTCTGACCCAGGGACCTACATGTTAAGTCTAAAATGAAGGTTTACCAGAGACATAAGATTGGTGTTTGTGTAGGATGTGTAGTGATGTGTTTTTCTCATAGGTATCAGTTCCTTTTTCTATGTAAAATTAGAGAGAATGGACACATTTTTTAATTAGAAAAGCATTCCATCATGACTAACTTGCTGGCAGGAGCAGCTGACCAAAGTGCAGCTGACCATGCAAGAGTTGGTCAGCTCTCCAAACCATAACATCTGGTTTGGAGTCAAAAATATTTCTTAGCCAAATAATAAAACTTTCATCTTTCAGCCACAAACAGTTTTGAGCGCTAATTATTGTTTGTATTGCATGTAGTTCAAGACACCAAAGCTAATGCAGCTATGGATTTGTTTAACCTTACCACATAGAATATAACTAAAAACTCCAATACTCAATTATTGGCATAAAAAAGGTTGTTACTGTTATTGTGACTAACTCTGTTGTAGTTCTTCAGACCAAGGAATATAGTACTTCTGTACATTCTTATTAATGATTATGTTCCTCTTTTGAATAAAAAGTATTAAGGTCTTTATCTGGCAGTCTCAGTATTCTTGGAGAGAGTATGGTTCTGTCTGTACCTCTGGAATGATATGCTAACTGAAAATACAGTCAAGCACAATTTAAATTTTTTTTCTGTCACCTGATAAGAACTGCACTATGTATGATGCATTTAGAGTGGAGCTGGAAAAAATATGAATTACTTAAATGAGGGATTTATGCTTCTTAGTAATATGCAGTTGCACTGAAAGAGCTGCTAGTATTTTTAAAAGCATTTACAAGCATGCTTAGAAAACAGCTCATCCTCTGATTTTAAAGCAGGGAGCACAAAACTTGTTTTATCTGCCCACCTCCAACTTTTGCAGCCTGCTGCCTTTCAATTTTCAGAAACCTACTTGAGCAAGAACTATGTTTTATCTAGAACTTTGAATGTGTCAATTTTTCCAATGCATTTTAGTTTCTGCTTTCATTTCATTGAAATGCTGTTAAGTTGCTTTTGCTTCCATTAGTAAAGATTTTTTTTTTTTTTTTCCATGGTCCTAGGCTAATACAACGCATCAAATTTTCAAAGATAAAATCTGATACAGCTATTCCATTACTTTAAAAATACTGAGATTTATGACAGAGAAATTTGATAGAGATGGAATTCAGGCTGCTGAAAAACATACGTTATGATACAGCATTCAGCTGCATGCATTTTATTTTATTTTTACATTTTCCATAAGACACCCATGTCCTTCATTTAGGGAGTGAGTGGTGCCTATTTAATTTGTAGATCTTCAGTGTTTTTTGTATGGAGTAAGTGGATGATGAGAATTTAAAGATACCTTCTGAATCCAGCATTGCATATAGGCTTATTTTTCACTTGGAATTTTCAGTGAGGGTCCCATTGCCAAATCATAATACCCTTGAAGATACTACATTTTATACTTTCTGTAGATTGTAGTGCTGTATAACCTGAGACTGGAACAGTGCCTGAAGTGAAAAACATCATTGTGGCACTTCTGTGCACAAAGACAGGAGTCAAGGGCTGATTTGAACATGGGATTTGACCTAGTGTTCTGCAAATACTTTTTATAACAACCTCATCATAAGTGTGGTATTTCTTATAATACCTTTTTAACTACATTGTCTAGCTTCTTTAATCAAGACTAAGGCCTCTTAATGTGAAATACTGCATGTTTGTTTTTAAATAATTAAATTAAAACCCTAGTTTTCAAAGTATTTCTGATACCAGCAAGGAATTGAGCCCTGGACACTCTTTAAAAGACAGGAAAACTAACTTTTGGGATGCAATAGCTGGGACTGTGTGTTGGTGACAGGAGGGAGGTGAAAGCTTTGAGGTCAGAAGTTACTGTTGGCATCACCAAAGAGAATGAGAATGTTAAGGGTTGAAACCTTGGGTGAAGGGCACTGCAGTGATAGTAGTGATTCTGCTAATGAAATTGCATGGAGTTTTGCTGTCATGTTATTACAATATATTGGAAGAGCTTTCTGGGTCTTTGAACCATGAAGCTCTTTCACAAGAAAGCCAGAAGTCCACCTGCAGAGATATTAGCAGCATTAAGAACAGTTGCCAAAACCACGGAAGGCTATTTTTTCCCCTCTTTCATTAAATAACGTGTACAGATGTTAGAGAAATTGAATTGGTCTATATGATTTTTTTTTTTTAGTTATTTCCTTGCTATGTAAAGGTAAGTGAGACCATTTAGTTCTTTCTTTCCATCTGATACTGTATCAAAACTTTTCTTTCTTTTCTTCTTTTTTTTTCCTTTTAATCTAAACCCTGGGGTTTTTTTCCCCCTTTTTTGGGGCACAGGTAACAATGGTATGTGTTTTTTATTTCAGACAATAAAACTTAGAATACTGTGTCTGGGCTCTTTTTAAAAAAAGCAGCAAAAAAAAAAAAACTAAAAAGAAAACCCAAAGCCCTCAGAAAACAGAGCTTGCTATATTACATGGCACAAATCTCGAATCTGCTTTTTCACTTACAAAGCTCAAAAGAATTCTTGTAACTTGTCTGAACACTTGACTGTAGACACTTCTCCAGTCCAGAACACAGAAGCTCTGTGCTTGGTTCCTGGAGAGCAATTCTGGGCCTTCTTCATATTTCCGGGCCCTGAGGGCAAGTCAGGGCAATCTTTCTGTTGCCTGGCTGAACAGTAACAGAGGACTGATCCAGGTTCTGCCACAAAAAAAAAAAACACAAACAAAACAAAACCAAACCTTCCCCCCCTCCCCAAATTTCTAAATTCTCTGCTGCTTCTTTGTTGTCTGTTTTTGTTGCTTCTTGTTCATTTTTAAGATATACAAAATAAACTATGCATAAGTCTTTTTTTTTTTTTTTTTTTTTTTTCTGTTCAGATGTGTTTTATAGCTCTGATTTGCAGTCTGGGAATTGTGTGGATTTGCTGGAGTTCTAGGATCACAAAATATTGTATTAAAACCACTTATTGCATGGTTTATTCACTTATATATATGCATATACACACACACACACATGCATACATACGTATCCATACCTCTGTATTGGTGGGAGTACTTACTAGTTAAAACCCAGAAAGACAACCTCCCTTGTTGGGGTGCAATTGAAATATCCCATAGGATGTATCTGGTTACTTTAAAACTTTCCTTGAAGGCTGGGCAGCTTTGCCGGTTTCACAGCCTCCTTGAGGTGCTTTCCACTGGGGGCTCCCAGACTGTTGGCTTTCCTGCAGCTACTTTTCTGTTCAGCTGGAAAGTTGGCAAGCTTATGTAGTGAGGCACCTCAGACCTTAGGAGATTCACATACACAAGATGCCTACTAGAAAAGCTATAAAAAAATGAAATGATATCTGGGCAACTGTCAGGCCTACAAACCAGAACAACCAATGTTAGCATTTTAGATGTTTCCAAAATGAAATGTTTAAGAATAGTTAGCATTTGGAAGAGAGGGATTTGAGATTTGGATTTTGTTACAATTTAATTTCATGTTGTAATGTATACTGTGCATGTTTATTATCCAGTAGAAAACCTCTGTTCAAATTTTGTTTTAGGCTAAGCTTTTAATTCTTTTAAATACATGTTGTATTTTTCAATGCATTAAATGTGCTTTTTTCTCAGCGGTATTTACAGCAGCAACATGCATATAAAGGCAAAGCTTTCATCAGGAAAATAACAGGTTAAAGAGTATAGGAAAAACATTCTACAAGAGCTATAAGATTGTAATGACTAAGACAACATTTATGCAGTCACATTCATAATATTTGGTTTCTTATTTGTATCATGAAAACATGCCAGATTGTCAAAGTAACTTTCAGAACACCTAGATGTTTTTTCTTATGACTTAATAGATAACCAGAATGCCTTTTCTGATAATATTATTTCACGTCTGTAGGTAATATACGCTTTGAACACTAAAAATGATGAACACGAAGCTGCTATCCAAGCCCTTAAGGATGCTCATGAAGAAGAAATTCAACAAATTCTTGCAGAGACCAGAGAGAAGATCTTGCAGTATAAAAGTAAAGTTGCAGAAGAAATGGATCTCAAGAGAAAGATCCAGGTTTTAGAAGAGTCACTGGAAGATCATAAAAAGATGAAACATCAGGCCTTGACAGAATTTGAAGCCTATAAGGATAGAGTTGAAGATATGCAGCTTTGCGCAGAAGCTCAGCATGTCCAACGTGTAGTGACCATGTCAAGAGAAGTAGAAGAGATCAGAAAGAAATTTGAGGAAAGGCTAAGAAGTTTCATACAGTTGCAAGTACAGTATGAGAAGGACAAGCGTACAGCTCTGGAAGATTTGAGAGCTGCCCACAGGCTTGAGATTCAAGAACTTCTGAAGACTCAACAGAGTCAGAATGCTACTTTAAGTAAGGGGCAAGAAAAGTTAGAGGAATTGCATAGACTGGAGCTGGAAGACTTGAACAGTAAAGTTGAAGAGTTAAGACTGGAAAGAAAAAAACTCATTGAAGACTATGAAGGTAAACTCAGCAAAGCACAGTCCTTTTATGAACACGAACTTGATTCTTTGAAAAGATCTCAGCTTTTTACAGCAGAAAGTCTGCATGCTTGTAAAGAAAAAGAAGTGGAGCTAAGAAAAGAATTTCAAAACCAGGAAAGTATGTTACGGAAGAACTTGGGAAAGCTTAAAACTGAATTGCAAATGGTCCAGGATGAAGCTGCCAGTCTACGGGAAAAATGCCAAAAACTTCAGGTGGCTCTTGGTACAGCAGAAAACAATGTTCAGGTGAGACCAATTATATGTTGTTCTTAAGACTGAATTTTCTTTTCCTATTTATGCTGTCTTTCCCTGTGGCTGGTAGGTTGAGGTGACTGGACAAATAAACTTAATTTTCGGTCACTCATAGTTGATTATAATCTATTTCTAAATTTTAAAAGTTTATATTATTATGTTTATTTTATGTGTTTAATTTTCCCAAACTGAAGTAATACTACTTTATATTCCATTATATATATTACTTTATCTTTATATTCCATTAGAATCTAGAAACCCCTACCCAGGGGAAAGTTTTGGTCTCCTTCCTTTCAGCTGTTCATGAACGGAACATCATTGTTCTAGTGATACCACCCAAAGTGTAGTATACTCAATAGACTACTCAAAATGGGTACCACTTAAAGAACAGACAAAAAACTCCAAAGCAAACCCTGTTCCCTCCATCCCAAAGAAAGAAAGGAAAAAAAACATGCAAAAAGCTAAGCAATATTGCATTAGGTCCACACATAAATTCATCCTTCCCTCCCCCACCCCAAAAAAAGGATTCTGAGAGGGAAGGAGGATGTTGGTGACTAATATCACTTGAGATAATAGTAGACAGAATTCAGACAAACTGAAGTGCTTGTAGAGAACATTAGTGATTATTTTGCCTAAACACGTTGAGTCTTAGGAAAAGTAAGTTTGTGCAAGGTAAGAAAAAAGACAACTTTCTGAATTGTTTGAACTTTTTTATTATAACATCTTTATTGCCATTTTCACAAGCAATAACTGAAATGTTTTCAGTATGACTGGTTTTGGCTGGGGTAGAGTTAATTTCATTCACAGTAGCTAGTATGGGGTTGTATTTTGGATTTGTGCTGGAGACAGTGTTGGTAACCCAAGGATGTTTTAGTTACTGCTGAGCAGGGCTTACACACAGCCAAGACCTTTTCTGCTCCTCACACTGCCCCGCCAGCGAGTAGGCTCGGGGGGCACAAGAAGTTGGTGGGGGACACAGCTGGGACAGCTGACCCCAACTGACCAAAGGGGTAGTCTGTACCATATGACATTGTGCTCAGCAATAAAAGCTGGAGAAAGAAGGAAAGGGAACATTTAGAGTTATTGGTGTTTGTCTTCTCAAAGTAACAGTTATATGTGATGGAGCCCTGCTTTCCTAGAGATGGCTAAACACCTGTGTCGTGGTTTTGACCAAATTGACCAACCAGAAGGACAGATGACCCCTCCCTCCCCCCTCTAAGGAAAAGAGAGGAGAGGAAGAGGTTAAAAAATAATTAAAATTTTAGTTTAGAAAAAAATAAACTACTTTAGCGAAAATATAAATAAATAATGAAATAATAAATAATAACAAGAAAAGAAACAAAGGGGAAAAAAATGTATACAGTATATACAAAACCGTATCAAGCTCCCAGGATGATGATCACGTCACCAGCAGGCACAGGGGAAAGTCCCAGGCTGGACTCGGTGATGGACAGGAGCCAGATTCCAGCTCTGGAGTCAGGAACGCTCAGATCGGGATCAAAGGCAGACGAACAGACAGGGTCCTCCTCGGACGTCGGCCATTGAAGGAAGAGAGTTGACCCTTTGATCCCTCAGCTTTTATTCTGAGCATGATGCGGATGGGATGGAATACCCTGTTGGTCAGTTTTGGGTCACCTGTCCTGTCTGCTCCTCCCTACAGGTGTGCCCCCTCTACACTTTTCTGCTTCCGACCCTCCAACTGGACACATAACAAATTTACCTGACATTGGATGTTATAGCAATAAGTATAAGCAGGGGCCTCTCTGCACACCATTCCTTGGTATGATCAGGTCTTATCACTGTGAGAGTGAACAGTTTTCTGAACAATATGCTGTTAATTTCAGAGTTTAGTTAGAAGAGGCCTAGCTTGAAAAAAGTAAAATTACTGAACGGAAAACTAGTTCTGTTTTACCTCAAACCAGGACAACCTGCCTGCTGATGGAAAGATCCTTATTTTGCTTTGTTTGCATGCATAGCTTTTTTCTTTACCTATTAAACTGTCTTTATCTCAACACACAAGTTTTCTCACTCTTACCTTTCTGTTTCTCTCCCCCATCCTGCTGGGGGGCAATGAGTGAGTGGCTGTGTGATAATTAGCTGATTACCAGGGTAAACCACAAAACAGTGTTATTTAGATACTAAAGTTTCTTGTCCTTAAATAAGGACAAGACATCCCAGAAATACATAGATTGAATTTTTTTTGGTCAGCACAAAATACGACTGGGTATGCTGGACTTAAATGAAAAGAGTCTGTGAAATACTGATGGTTTTTGGTAGTTGTGCTGAGGTCTGGAGAACAGTAAACTCTGTGCGTAAGCTTAAGCTTATCTTGTCTTTTGCATTTAGTTACTCTAAAGTTTCAAGACCAGAAGTACCATAAATGTGATGGTCTTAGTAATTTTGGAAGCATCATTGAGTAGAGCTGAGATGGGCCATGAGCTTTTCTCATTTACAGTCTAATTCCAGCTCATCTTTTGGACTATTCTTCCTTCTTGTATTAAAGGCTACAGGGTATAGTGAAATAAGACTCCCACCTTTATCAGATGTTAAAACCAGAATACCTTTTTCCAGTTTCCCAAGAGGCCTCCCAAAAATTCCTTTCCAACTCTCTTCAGTTAATGAAGCAGAACTCCTGCCTTTCAATTTATTATTTCAAGGAGGTGGGTTTTTGGCAAGCTACAGCAAAGAGGAAACCCACTGGATGTTGATCATTCCTGCAGAAAGGGAGTTAGTCTTGGTTCCAAAGAGGAAGAGTCTAGTACAGTATTCACGGCAGATTTTTTAAGTCAGGTCCTGCTTTGATCATCATGGATAAGGTGACCGAAGGCATAATCTCACCACTTCTGGTGTCCATGTTTCATTACACAACCTGCCCAGTGTTTTCCCCAATTCTGTTTCCTGCTTTAATTTCTGAAATGATCCCTTTACTGTTCTGGTGATTTGAATGATGAAAAGTCTAGCTTTCCTTTTAAAACAGAACAAGGTTTCCTTTTTCTTCCTGCATTGCTGAGAACACATAATCATCATCACTATGCTATTGTGAATCAGTACACCAGACTTAAAGCATAGTAGAAGTTTGATCTAACTAATTGCCTAGCTCTCATTTTATGTATATCCGTGAGCAGCTTCATTTGTGTCAGTACTAAACACTCACAGTTCAATGAAGGACACTGTAAACTGCTGTGAACATAAAATGTATTATTCAGTGTGAAGAACTCTCAGATATCAGAAACGAGGTTTCTCAAATTGCCCCCAAACCCTGTACCATTTTACCATTTTTATTTTTTCATATACCTTTTTGAATACTGTCACTTTCCTCTTATGCATCCTTGTCATGCCATGTATCCAGTGTCTTGTAGAGCTTCAACAGTATTTTTGGAAAAACACATAATACAAAATGAATATGACTGTAATATCACAGGAGTTCAGCTTTTGTATGAATAAAACTTGCTTGCTGAAGGGTCTTTTCAGTTCTTTTTAATCTAGTGCTCATTTAAACTTAAACAGGATTGTATATAATGATAACAGGCATTATCCTGTTCTTCCTCTAGGTTCTTCAAAAACAGCTAGATGATGTGAAGGAAGAGGAGATGTCATTGTTAAGCAAACACAAAGAAGTGGAAAGTGAGCTAGCAGCTGCTAGGGAGCGCTTACAGCAGCAGGCCACTGATCTTGTTCTCAAAGCCAGTATGTATGTCAGTAACTTAATCTGGAAATTAACTTCATCTCTTTATTCTAGCCTTTCCTTATTCTGTTAACCTCGTGCAGATTTAGAATGCCTAAAGATTGTTCAATGCTGTCTGTAGGTATCTATTCTGATGACTTTTGGTTTTTAACTGTTTTGATATCACTTGCATTGTACTTAGGATTCTTTTTCTGTGTACTTGTCCAAATGTTCTACTTTGTATGGCATGTATGCGTCTTCCAGGCCATGGAATTTCTTGCCTTAACAGCACTTGTACAGAACTTGTGTGTATGTTCTCCACATAAGCACTGAGAAATGCTTCCTATTCCTCCAGCCTTTTTCAGTTGCCTTGTCTTTTTGCTGAGACTTATTGCTGTACCTCTACTATCAGAAGACTTGCAGCTTATCACTTAATGAATCTGTTAGGATTTTCTTTATAGCTGTTTTCTTGACTTCTCTGTGCTCAGTGGCATAAGGAAAGGCATAGAAAATGCTTTTCGATTTGCCATGTGGGTTTTCACTTAGTGGCGTTGTCTCTCTAGTAAACTGCTTAGTAATAGGGTATGGGCCTGAGCCCAAGTACTTGAACTTGGTTAACTATGCTTATAGGTAGGATTGTAGGCTAAAAGTAAGCCCGACTTATCTTTGGACTTTTTCAACTAGACCAGTCATAGAAATACCCGATTGTTTTCCACACAAGTTAGCACAAGCCCAGGGGCCCTTCCCAAAAGTCGCTTTGGATGTGATCACCTTGTTTTGAAGGCTGAGATGTTGCTAGACTGTACCAGTCGGCCTTAAGGACAAAAGATACTTCACAGCGTTAACTTGCTAATGCTGCAATAATTTACTATTTATATTATATACTATATGTACTATTACTGTAATGGCTTACTATTAGCTGGCTACATGTGGCCTAGCCCTCAAACTGTGTATGTGACTGTGGCCTGTATCAAGGCTTTATTTCTGTCCTTCAAATAATGAAGCAGGTCCTACAGATGGACTGAGTGTGTCTGCTACTAAGGAGAGCTTCATGCCTAGGACAAGTGGCATAAACAAGCTAGCTAAGGTAAAGGCTAGGAATAGTCTGAGCTATATGTTCGGACAATATAGAGGCCAGCTGGGACCCAAGACTGCAAGGTCCTACTGGATGTAATTAGCTACAAGGAATGGACTCTCTGCTAAGAGGATCTCAAATCATAGTTCTTAAATGGGAATCTGACCCTCCAAAAATTATGTGTGAGGCACTTATAGAAAAAATCATGATCTGAGACTGTTGAAGGAAAGAAACGTGTTCTCATACACTCTTTGGCCATTCTGTTTCTTTCCTCAAGCAGAAGCATGGGGGAGGTTCACCAGGCAGCCCCAGATTTACGGGAAACAACATCCAGGCTATTTTTCCTTATTACTGATGACAATGAGTCATCTAGACTGTGAGTCCAACACTGGTCTCCTCTGGCACTGAGGTTTTTAGCTTTACCAGAAATGGCAGCATGTCCATGCTGTCGCTGAGCTCAGTGGCACTGTCAATAATACATCCTTGATTTATAGCACCTCACTGTGCAACAAGAACCAGGAGCCCTGTTTACAGCGGTCCCACCAAGCTTTTATTGTGTGATATAACTGATTACCAGCTCCTTTGGATAAGGTTTCTGACCCTGGCTCACTCCTTTGATTTTCTGCTCACACTCAGATGTCAAAAATCCTGCCCCCAAAAAACTAAATTCTTGTACTTAATTACCATTCAAAATATTTACTCATTGTATTTCAGTTTGAAAATGCTGAGTTATATTTATTTCCCATAAAAGATTTATTCTTCTTCCATTTATCCTGAGATTCTAGACTTGAAAGGAAGCTGCTGTGTTTCATACCTTCTGTGTAGAGCATGAGGAATGGGAAAGCTCTGTTGTGTGGTGTGTCCATATTGCTAGGACAAAAAAATCTAGATCAGTGTGTGTGTGTGCACACTTATAAAAAATATGCATGTACATAATACTTCCTGACAAACTTGAAATTCTTATGAGATACAGATATAAACTAAGTAGAACACAGAAAAAAATATCTGAATTCATAAACCTTTTTCTGCTGGTGATATGAAGGACAGATGATTATATAGTCTAGCTTTGTAGATTATTTTTTTTTAATACATCTAAAGAAATTAAAAGCAAGCCTCTAACCTGCAAGGATTTAGATTTTACTTTACTATGAAGAGAATGAGTTCTTTTAGTCATACACCTATAACAAAGTAAACAACGTGTAATTCCATATATTCCATATATGTATGCATAATAGCTGCTGTACCTAACGTGCTGGTTAAATTAGGAGTTTGATGAAACAATAACATCTTTACCATTAGACTTCAACATTCTGCTTTCTATTGTGTAGCTTATTGTGGGGTAAAAATGTGTGGGTTTAGGTGGGGCAAGTTCTTCAAGATAGACTGTCCATGTTCATACTATTGCATACCTCTGCTTTCTCTGGAGTCACTATGCAACCAGGAGAATTGAAAGTAAAGAAGCCCCAGCACTAAGCACTCTACTGTTGTTGGACATTTTGCAATAAAACTAAAAAAGAGAGAAGTGGAGGGGAAGGTGAGCATTGCAGTGAAGATAATGAAGATCCATATGAAAACTTCCACTAGAGTTGAACTTCTGGAAAACACTGATTCATGAATGTGTACTTAAATGACATGAAACCAATGCTGTGAGGTTTTAAAGAGCTGTTTTGTTTTTAGGTCACATTGGAATGCTTCAAGCTACTCAGATGACTCAAGAGGTTACAATCAGAGATTTGGAATCAGAAAAGTCTAGATTAAAAGAAAAACTATCCCAACTGGAAGAGGAAAGAAACTTACTACAGAGCAAAACACAGAGTCTGGATGAGCGACAAAGGCAGCAAATTCTGGCCTTGGAAAAGGTTAAACAGCTTATTGGCTTTAGTTGAATAATAACAAAAGATCTAGAATTCCAAGAAAAAATTATGTTTTGATTTTTATTTTATATGACTGTACTAGGACCAGTAGTAGTATATTCCAAGTGTATCTCATGTTGTAACATAGAATAACTAAAGTAGAGTGTAAAGTGAGAGTAGTGGGAAGTCAGATTAGATGTTCAGACTGCTTTGGACATCTTTTAACATTTTTACTTAGTTTATGACCTCGTGTGTAGATGCCTATTATCTAAAGTGCCTTAGTAAGGAGCAATGTGAAATGGTTAAAGAATTTAAAAAGCCATTCTCTGAAAATGTGCTGAACGTGTGTGAAAATACTGAACTGAAATTTTCTATAGGTATAATGTCTGATTGCTGTTTCCCCAGATTAAATAGAGAAAAAAGATAGGCGTTAGTATCGATATATTGCTTTGCATGGATATATTGAAACTACCTTTTTTGGTTATTGAATTATTTAGTCAGTGCTTAGTGTTTGTTAAATTTGTTTAATATGGAAGTTAATTTATATAGATTTATTTAATCAGTAATATTTCTGGGTTTTTTATTGTTTAATAGAAATGATTGTATTTTAACTGTCTCTTACAGAAAGTAAATGAAGCAAGGGAGTCACAACGTGAATATTATGAGAAGGAGCTGGTAAAATTGCAAGCAAGATTGGAAGGGGAAGCTGCACAGTTAAAGGAGGCTCATTCTAAGACCTTAGAAGAATTAGCATGGAAACACCATACTGCAATTGAGGCTGCGCACAGTAATGCTAATAAGGATAAGAAAAAACTGCAGATGGTAGGTTTGTGTTTTCTTAATAATCAAACTGAACAAAAAGCAAATGTTAGTTTGAACCTTGTACTACATGGTGGTTTTGTTGTATGGCAAGTTTTATTTGGAGTACCTGCAGATCTGTTGAGCCTGTCTGAAGAAACTGCTCAGCCTTTATTAAAATAACATACACTTTGCCAAAAAAAAAAAGGCATTTGTTCTGTGATTAGTCTGCACAGAAGAGAAATCCTCAACTGAAAACAACTTTCTATTTTGGTATAGTAAGTGTGTTTTTTCTCCGGGTTTTGTGACCCATGTTCACAAAGGTTGGTATGTTGCTCAAGATCATTCTTCTGAAAGAGATGAAAGATTGTTAATTTGATATTTATTTAAAATTTTAATAAACAGTCCAAAAGTACAAAAAGATTATATTAGTAATCTACTATGGGTATACTCAAGGACAGCAACAGCTGTTTCTAACTTACATCATAAAATTGTGCTAACTGTATATCAACTACTCATTAAACTTTGTTTGGAATCCTGAAACTGAAAAGCTGCTTTGTTTCACAAAATTGGCCTTTTCTTGGTTGGCATAACTGAGAGGACCAATTTTGAATTATTATTTCCCAATCTGATTGTATGTACACGACACAGAAATTTTCCTTTATACAATAAATATGGGATAAATATTGATTCATTTAAGGTTTTGTGAGGCTCCTCTAGTGTGTTCACAGGAAACATCAAGAAACACAGTTGTAGTTAGTGATGTTCATCTTAGACTGTTTTTGTTTGGTTGGTGTTTTTTGTAAATTATTTTACTGGTGTTGCTTCTTAGTTTTATCCCAAGTCCCAAAGTTTTTTTCATGACTTCCAGTGATGGAAGTAGTTCTCCAAGACATACATACATCTGCTCTTTCAAGTTCACTTTCTTTGTAACTTCAAACATGCTTGTTATTAATACAATGTCTCTTAAAGGTTTCTGGGAAGATTTTTCTTTTACTTCAGTAGGATGTGGTTTTTTTTTTTTTTCCCTATCTTTTGTTTTTTATTAAACTAATGTAGAGAATAAAACAAAGGATATCATAAAAATGTTTTTTCTTAAACCATTAAATCAGTTAAAATAGGGAGCGTCTCTATAAATGTAAGAAATGTGAAACTTGATTTTATCAAGGGAAGATTAACTATGAAAAGATGTCAGGGTCAAGATCTCAGCAAATTTAATCAGTGTACTGCCTCCTGTCAAACCTGTCTTGCTAAGCACATGTTGTCTTCCTAGAGTAACTTAAGGAAGGAACAGTGGAGAAAAGTTAAATTTAGTATGAGGAAGAAGATGGTATACGAGGAGCCTTGGGACAGAGCATATGAGGATTTATTGGGACTGAAAGACTGGGAAAGGCACCTGGAGTTAGGAAAGCTTTGAAAAAAATGGAATAGAAGAGAATTCTAAAGAATGAGAATAGGACTCAAAAATGGCTTAAATATATATCTTTGCTTCAATTCTTCCATTTATAAAATGAGCTGTAAAAATGGCATCAGTTCATAGGAGGATTATGAAAATAGAGCTGCTAATAATTTTGCAGTACTGCACAGCTGTACTGCCAAGTATCATAAAAGAACTAATTACTCAGTTATCAGTGTAGGGTCTGAATAGCACTAGTGAAATTTTGCAGACAGCAGATTTCACGCTGTGAACAAGAAACTGAGCAAGTCTCATTTAGCAAGCATCATTTGCCCCATGGTTCTGGTCTATGTATTTTCATAGCTGTTCCTGAGATATTTCCGATTTCTCAGAAATCGGAGCCCAGGGATACAGAGACACTGAATCGATGCTAAGCCTTGCATTACAGCTGAACCCCTAGCAGGGAGTTCATACAGGAGCCTCTGCATCTGCATAGAAAACCTTGAAGTTGTATTACCTGGCTCTGGAGCACCTTACCTGGCAATGTTAATTTTTTTGTGGTACTTTGTGGTATAATAAATTATATAGTATATTCTGCTGGAATATACAGTAAAGCTCTTAATTTTAATATATGTTCAGTATTCTGTGACATAAATTGTTTTTCTGAAAATATATTCAGAATATATTTTTAAAGCTGAAGCATACATTTATCGTTTTCCATATAATTGAACTTGAAGACTAATTGTTGATTTCTTTTGGTTCTACCTAAATTTTACAGATATGGTGTGGCGTGCTTTTTCATTTATTGTAACGGTCTGAAAACTTCCCAAAGTCTAAAATCCAGTCTGGATTTTAAACCTTACTATTTTCTGTGGAGATTATGTGTAGGAGATAGACGGGTAAAGGGTGAAGCATGTAAGATTAGAAAATGATCTCAAAAAAGAAGGCATTCATTGTAAAAGAAAATAAGTTTTCATCCTTTAACACTTTAAGGAAAGGACGATTCCTGATTGAGATCAGGAATACTTCTGCCAGGAGGAATAATTTTCATGTGGTACATCTGTACTTTGCAATGACGGTATAGTAAGTATTTAATGCTTTTTCCCATCCTTCTTATGCCTGAAGGAGCTGGAGCAACAGTTTGAGAAGGAGAAACTGCATTTGGAGGATGATAAGAATCAGCTCCGACAGCAGCTGGAGAACCTGAAGGAAGAGCTGACAACAAAACTGACTTCTGCCAATCAGGAGGCAAGGTTTTATTTCACTGTATCAGCTAATGGTCCTGTGCACTACAGCACATTCCATCAATAATGAACTTGTGCTTAGGGTCCAGCGCAGAGCTGGGACTGCACTGTTCAGTCTGTTTAGTGCCTTATTTCTGTTTAAAGTGGAATACTCTTCAAACACGCTAAGTTACTTGACTGCTTCCGAGTCCTTTACAAAATTAACAAAGCAAAAGAGATTGCAAAACAGTTGACATAAACAACCTTTCTTGTTTTAACTCTGCTTATTTTCTCCTTAGGTACGAAAACCTCTACACAAAATATGTCAGCAGACGAGGGAAAATTAAGTGTATTTAAACCCATATTTGTTTACAATTAACATATAGTAAATTCTGGTCAGCTTGCTGACTTGATGACCTTCATATATTTCCATCAAAAGATGACATGAATACTTATCGTAAGACCCAAATTATTTGCAGTGTTTTGATATATAAAATCAATGTTAAATGTATCATAGAATCGTTTGGGTTGGAAGGAACCTTTAAAGGTCATCTAGTCCAACCTCCCCAGCAATGAGCAGGGACATCTTCAACTACATCAGGTTGCTCAGAGCCCCATCCAACTTGGGCATGAATGTTTCCAGGGATGGGGCATGTACAACCTCTCTGGGCAGCCTGTTTCAGTGTTTCAGCACCCTCATTGTAAAAAATTTCTTCCTTCTATCTAGAAGTACTGAAAGGCTGCAGTAAGGTTTTCCCGGAGTCTTGTCTTCTCCAGGCTGAACAACCCCAGCTCTCTCAGCCTGTGCTTGTAGGAGAGGTGCTCCAGTATGTGTTCTTTTAAGTTTAAAAAATGGGAAAGGTTGCCCTTCTGACAGTGATTTTTTAATTGTTGTTAATAATAATAATTATTATTTTAATGTATATATTCTCATTATTAATATATTGCTATGATATGTTATTAATATAGCGATACATTTGTAAATTAATATACATGTTAATGTATTAAAACATTATATATTTTAGTATATTATATATTATATATATAAAAGTATATATTAATATAGATTCAATATATTAATATATACTTTCAGAGTAGGAAGAGCTCAGCAGCGTTGATCAGTCTGTCCTGAGTACCTGTTAAACAGGAGACTACATTTTTCTGCTAGTTCTGAGTGCCTTTGCTGGTACTTCACACCTTGGAGAAGGTGCAAACTGAAGCTGGAACTACTCTTGCTATTCTAACAGTATGCTTAACTACATTCAAATTGATGAAAATATGATGTATTTGTTACATATGTTAGCAAAATCATACACATGTTTATTTTTCATTTCAAAATTACAGAAAGTTTAGACATTTCTTTTTAGCTTTAACTTCTCTGTTGTGTGTTAAAACTTACCTTTCTTGCTGGATTAGATCTGAGGAGACCACTGTTGCCACTCTACTGTCGTTCAGCGCTAGGCTGTAATTTAGTTACTTTTTGTCAACTTCTCTTGGGTTCCTGAGTAATAAACTCGTTCCTTCTTTGAAGGAAATAAATTCTTTTAAGAATGAGCTTTCATTATCTAACCGCTATCAAGTTCAGGCTTGGAAAATCCATTAGCACACTGAATTAAGAAAACTGAGGCATAGCTAAGGAATAGGTAACTCCACCGTAAACTAAAATAGGGAATTAGGGTCAGCTGTTATTTTGTAGTTGAGTTTATATACATTCTTATACCAAGATAAATGCAATAGAGTGTATTTTGTGTATCACGAGAAAGAAGGTGTACAGGCAATACATTCAGGGTGCTGATTCCGTAAATCCTCTCTATGTAGTTACAGAGGCAATATGTTTTGTTTTATTACTTTGTTTATCTTAAGCACGAGACAAGTGCTTTACTTGAAACCACAGCTGACCCTTGGATTTCTATTGCCAACTGACAAGAGTTTCTCAATGTCTTCGCTGACCGGGAAGAAACTTGACTGTGAAACGTCTGGCAAGTTTTTAGCTTAGCTCTTACATTTCTACTGCGGCTTCCTTTTTTTGTTTGTTTTGTGTCATTGTAGATGTCATTTAACGGTAGGGATGTATTTATTACTTACTCTGGATGTTAGCTTAGCTCTAGCTTCCCTGCTGAGAAAACTGTTTTTGAACCTCTGCCATCCTCTTTTCTTTTTAATAGCAATTATCTTAGCTAAAGGGTGAAGAAGATTCAAGCCTCATTAGCCTTGCTCCTAGCACCAAGCTTTTTAAGAACAGTGTAATCTTAAATACTTACCTGAGGTTTTTTTGAGAGTTTAGGTTAAGTCAAGATCTTTTCTTTCTCATACGTATCTCTAGATAAAGCTGGTTGTTTACTCTATAGATTTACTTCCTTTCACTGCTGACCAGCCAAGACCTTTTAGAAAGACTCCATTTGTCACTTGACAGAGTAGTCTAAGGACTGGCTGTCTCCTTGCAAAGCATTTCCAATCCCTTGCAAAGGATTTCTGATGATATTACTAAGAATCATTTTAAACAGCCTCCAGCATTGCTTTGTCAGTAGAACAGACCTAAGCCCTGTGAGTGGCATTCCTGCATAACATTTCCATGTCCTTTAGATCTCAGGACTTCTGTTCGCTTTTGTTCCAAGGGGTTTGCTACTACCAGCTCCATAGGCAGTGGTGCACTTCAGGGATATCAATACAGTTTTAGGGGCAATTTCTCATGTAGGGATTCTCTTTCAGGTAGTAGTGCTCTGTAAAGAATTACTAGTTGTTTGTGTATAATGCAAAAGTGCACATAGCCAAGTGCTCAAGATTATATTAGTTTTTCTCTGAGATCTGTCATGCCAAAGAAATTTGGGATTCCTTGCTGAGAAGAAGGGAAGAGTCCCTCTGTTTAAATACTTCATGGGTTGCATACAGAGGTAGAGGGTTGTGGGTGTCCGTGTCTGTGTATATATGTGTGTGCCTGTGTGTGTTATAAAGACTATTTGCATATAATTATGCTAGCAAACAGAAAGAGTAGTTATAACTGTTACCTGTCCATACCTGCAAACCAGAGGTAAGTCTTTTCTTGAGACACTTCTCCTGTTGTGGATGAAGTTATTCCAACATACAAAGGCAATGGCCTAGACTTATTACTCTGCAAAAGCTTCAGTTCCAATTAGCTGCTGTTCTTTGGTCCCCCCTGCCTCCCATTATTCTGTTTTTCCAGCCTACATTTTTCTTTTTCTATAGCTGGTGAAAAATGTCCCATTTCTAATATTTTTAATTGAAGCAAAGTGGTATAGCATCATTTTACAGTTGGGAAGCTAAAGCACAAAGAGGCAGGAAAAAATGTGTTGTTATATAGCAGTTAAGGAAATGGTCACATAATACTCTACAGATATTAGATTGAGCTTCAAACAGGCTAATTCATGAACAGGTAGCAATCTGAAAACAGAGAAACATATACCCCAGCATAAGTTAATTTAGGTGTTAGATTAGAGTTTATATGTTTTGAAATAGTGGTTATCATTGTTTTAATTAGCATAAAACATGCTTCCTCACAGTAAAATTAATATTTTCAGAATTAATATTAAATTCATTTAATTCAGAATTTCATAATCAAAATTAATTTAATTCAGAATTAAAATTAATAGTATTTTCAGAACTTTTATGTAACTTTGTTCCTTGCAAAAGGCTTCAAACATAGCTTGGATATTTTTTTATGTGTAAAAATCTTTTAATTGAATCTTTGATTTTATAATATTACAGGAATTTATTTTTAATACAGAAACATAAAGTGATATTAAAGGACAACAGACTGTGCAAACACTGGAAGAAAATGAGACCAGAATGACTTGGCTTCCATTAGTAATAATTATGGAAATTACAACTTTTTTTTTGTCATAGGTGTGTCGTCTACAAGACCTAGTACGAAAAAGTGAGCAAGGCCTTGGTACTGCAGAAGGACATATCTCCAGTCTTCAAGAAGCTCAGGAAATACTCCAGAAGGAACTAGAATTAACTAGAGCAAGACTGCGAGAGACCACAGATTCATTGTATAGTGTTGAGGTAACCATAATGTTGGACAAAAAATTGTGTAAAGTAGAGTCACAGTGGTTTTGGTCTTGTTTTTAAAATGCAAGTAGTATTCTGGTGTACACATAATCAAAGGAGCTTCCTGTGGTTTCGCTGAAAGAGAAATTTCTGTTTTTATTTTGAGTAGAGAGAAAAAGAAAAAGGAAAACTAGGATGGATTGGTTGGAGCTTTTTTGTTGGTTGGTTGTTTTGGGGGGTGGTTGTTTGGGTGGTTGTTTTTTTTTCAGAACGCATTTAGTATTTAATGAGTATTGCTGCAAGCACATCTTTCTGTGGTTAATATAAATTGTAGCTGCCAAAATATGTTTGTACAAAGTATATCCAGAATTGGATTTCTCAGAGGCTTAATAGAATTTAATGAGAATGTTAAAAGGATATGTGTTACATCAGTGGTATCCCAGACAATGTCAGGTCCTGGTGCAAAACAAGATCCAGAGCTTACTATCTCTAGAATTCATTGAAACCTTTTAAATTTATTTCTTTTCATGCATGCATACCATGTTTTCATCAAGTAATGGACACAGTCTTCATTTCAGGCTCAAATTTAGAATTTCAGAAGGTGTTTGAGAGTAGTTTAAAAATAATATGCTATGATATCTTGAAAGATAACAGAGTGTCGTTCAGAAAATGTGACCATTTTATATTATAGAAACAATTAATTTGTCTAAGCATAAATATATTGCCATTCTGGTCGGCTTAGTTGGAACTGGAACTGTCAACCTGTCAATAGCTCATTGATTTTAATGCGAAGTATCATACTAAGTGTAACCTTTCCTTTTTCTTTCATCAGTAAACAATGCACATTTACAAGATCACAGCAATATTTGAAGTAGAGCAGCAAATATTTATAAAAAAATACTAATAAAAAAAATCCCCAAATCTGTTTTCATATTGGTGTTATTTTCTTAACAAAACCAGCCTGAAACAGGATATTTGGGGTTTGTTTTTTTGTTGTTGTTTTTCTTTTTAAAAAAAAAATAATTGTTTCAGCTGTGGTTATTAGATGTGCACCCTGCTACATTTTATAACTTCCTCTATATTTCTTTATAATTTCTCTATGTGTCCATATGAACTACTGCATTCTTATCTCTTCATCTATTATAACATCTAGATATTCATATATAGCAGTTTACTGGCAACAACAGATATTAACAGATTTAAAAATATATAAAAAAAAAATCCTACAAAAAATTCTCACTTTAAGTGTTAATTAAATTTAGATGGCCATGTTTGCTTCTCATAAATGAAGCAGGCACTGCTGAAAAACATTCGTCTAAGTATGATTTTTGGTAAACACTATTTTTGTATGGTAAAATTTGAACAGAAATTAATAAGAATTTTAAAGTGGTGGTGTTTTTTTTTCTGTGCTCACACTATGAAACCCTGATTCTAGCTGGTTTATCCAGTCAAGAAACAGAAAGAAGATACATGAACTTTGTATCAAATCCGCATAGTGCAAGCTTTGAAATGCAAATACTGAATATTTGCTGATTTAAAAAAAAAAAAAAATCCCAAACATGCTTGACAAGAACCTAAGCAGCCTGCTCTAATTCTGAAGTTCGTCCTGCACTGAACAGGACTTGATGAGCTTTTGAGGTTCTTTCCAGTATAAATTATTCTGTCATTCAGTGTAACAGTATTTGAAAATATTAACTCCACAATGACTTACTGGAAATTTGCTTTTTATAGTAATGCAGAATTCTGTTCCACAAGTAAGAAGTATCAGCAGATGTATAGACATTAATTGTGTGTAATTAGGAACTACACACTGAAAAAGTTACAGTTCAAGTTTTATGAGCCAATTATAACTGATATTTTTATTATAAAGGTTTGAAAGGTTTAAGGTTAAAAATACTTTTTTGCTGCTGATCAGTCTCTATTGTGAAGTTTGTGTTTGCAGGGGGAACTAGATCAGGAGAGACAACAGCACGAGGCGATGATTGCTGCCATGAGAGAAGAGGAAAAGTTCAAAGTTGACAGAATGGCTCGTGACTTGGAAATAAAATGGACAGAAAATCTTCGGCAAGTATTTTTTTTCTTCATTCTTTAATAAGAAACAAAGTATGTATTACATACAAATGTAATAGCAAATGAAACATAAAGCAAAGGTTTCCATTATTATCTAAGCTTTTCCAATTATTAGTGAGTTCTTAATTCTTTTTCACCTCTTGCACAAGGCCCACTGCATTTTAGTTATTTTAGGTATTTGCTTTTAGACAGGAATGTAATAAGCTTCGTGAAGAGCTGAGGCTACAGCATGAAGAGGATAAAAAGGCAGCTATGACTCAGCTGTTGCAGCTGAAAGAACGTGAAAAAAATGCAGCAAGGGATGGATGGCAAAAAAAAGTTGAAGATCTTTTAGACCAGGTAACTATGGTCTCTTTGAGAATTGGAAGGCCATTGCAGTTTAGTTGCTTGGTGGTTTATTGCTAAGGAACTACGTGAGATTGGTTGTGACATCTGTCTTTGAAACTAAATTTGTTAGTATAATGCTTCTCAAACTTAATTGTTATCAAACTTTTAAAGTAGTATATGAAGATGCCTTAAAATTATATGAATGTCCTTCTTTACACTAAATGTGAATAACACTAATTTCAGTAGTTTTTGGGGTGGCATGAGAGGGTGTTTACAGTCTCACCTATTCACTAGGGTTTTTTTTGGTTCTCTATCTGCTCACATACTCTATTGTAAACATTTACCAATGCTAATTGTTTGGACTTGGAGGTATCGCTTATCTTTACAATAACAACACTGTACAAGTCACTGAAAAGTCAATACGTCCCTCAGTTTTACGTCACATTTTTTACAGCTATGTCTTCTCTTAAGTGATTTTGAACATTATTTTGGGAAAGTGTTTTATAAACCTTGAGGTTTTTGATTGTTGCTTGTATTTATAAACTCGGTTACGTTAGCTAATTCATAGAAAATACTTGCTTTGTAGCTTTTCCAAACCATAAATGCTATAGAACTGGTTTTATTGACTACAGCTTGAAAGAATAGCTGATAATAAAAAAATATGTTTTAAAGTAAGAGAAACAGATTTCTGGAACTCACTGAATGACTGTGATTTCAGGGTGTTATTGTGGGGTGGCATTTAATTTGTTTAATTTGAGAAGTCTAATAACTGAAAATGCACTTGATTATACAGCTTCCTATAGGAACACATAACAATTTATTTTGCTTTATTTATTTTTGCTTTTTTTATTTTATTTTTGGAATTTAAGCTTGTAAAATCTTGTGGCTTAGGTTCATAAAAGCTGGAGGTTTTCAAAGTTCTCTGTTACTTTTTACAACCTGATTGTAATGAGACTTGGACTCATTTGATTTTTAAGTTTCATTTACTGCCTTTACCCACGCTTCATTTACTCTCTTTACTTCTACCTATAAATAGCATTTTCTCTAGGAAAGTACAATTTGAAAGGGATATATGTTAAACCTCTAGTTTTAACATACTTTGAAAATATTTTACTTATCTCTGCCTTTTAAAAATACCATAACAAATCTAGCCTACAGTTTCAGAGTGGAAAACTACTATGTTGCAAATGAACAATTTTTTTTCTGCATATGGAAGAAATTTTGGAATCGGAAACCTCAGGAAGCTAAATGTAATAAGGAGAATCTTACTAGAGAATTTGGATGTGTGGAAGCGGTCTGCAAATGCAAAATTGTTGGGTTGGTGGTTTTTCTTTTCCTTCATTCGTTTTACTCTACCAAAGACCTGCACCATTTCATAACAGCATGTGTGTTCAGGGGACCAATAAAAAAATAAACCATAGGAATCTTGACTTTCTTTTCTTTTCTAACCCAACTGTTGCTTTTCCATACCAGTGTTTGAGTTGGATTGGTATTTCATAAAGATCAAAAAGTTATTGTTGGTGATAGGGAATTAAGCTTTCCCTCTGTAAGAATATACATTTTATTCATTACATTTGGAGGAGAGAGAATTCCAGACCTATTCCATAGCATACAAGGTGGGTAACTTAAGTCTTAAAGAAATGGGTTTGTACTAAGTTCCTCCTGATTGGTCTAGAGACCAAGTGTGTAGTTCTTGTCTCTGATATGAGAAATGGCTCTAGAAGAGATAAAAAGAAGTGCTTTTTCTTTTTTTCCTGTAAATTGTACTAAGTACTTCTACATCAATCCATGTGAGAGCTTCTTCATGAAATATGTAGTGCATTCAGATGTGCTAGCTCTTTTCCATTTCTCTTAGCTGTGTAATGGGCTTTTAACGCTTTTCTAAAAACATTTTACTGCTGAGAAGGCTTCAACCATGGACGAAATAGTACAAATTTTCTCTTTTAAAGCATGAGTGTGTTCTCTCTTCTGCCTCTCCATGTTGCTCAACCTTCAGTTCTGAGCACTGAAATGTAGAGGTGCTGTACAGACCTGTATTCTTCTTACCTATTTCTTCTTGTGGTAGATATTTCTTTCTGTAAACTGAATCAAGTATTCTGATTGTGGATGGGCTTTTCTATACTTGAGGAAATACAGATTCTCCCATCTCCCTTACTTTTCAGCAAAACGTGTTCCACTGGAAGAAATGGTTTTGTCAGTGTTTTTTTTTCCATTCTTATGTAGCTTCACACTATTACGTGACCAAGCGTCAGTGTGACATTCTTCTTTCTATCTTTGTGAACTTTTTAATACAAAGATGCCATCTTCTATTAATGGAAATATTAGAAGTAGTATAGTGAGAATGGACAAAAGCATACTATATATGCTTTGGTAGCTGTTGTTTATTTTTCCTGCTGCAAAGATTCTCTCCTTTTTTGTAAAAAATGTAGAAGTTTCCTATGCAGAGTTTGTTTCTATGATGGTGTGTTCCTTTTCAAGCTATCAAAAAATATAAATATATCAAAATACAAATATATGCTTCTGATGTAGACATTATTTGAATTGTAGTTTTCAGAAAATTTCAAAGTCAGTCTTACTCTTACTGTACTCTTGTTCAGGAAAGTGGAGTGTTGTAGAAAAGTCAGAGCTGTGCACATCTGTAAATGCCCATTGACCGCCTTCTATCGGGGGGCAGTTATTGCTCAGTCTTTATTTGCTGATGTGGAGGTGCTTATTGCAGAGCTGATGTGCATCCACATCAGCAGAGTCAGGAAATGCTACTTTCTTTCCCCAGCACAAGGATTTCACAGCCTGCGTAATCCTTGCTTTAGAAGATTTGATTTTGAAGGGATGCTGGAAATTTCTACAAGAGAAAACCTGCACATAACCTATATTTACTCCCTGAAAAAAGGGAGATTAACTTTCAGCACAGAATCACCTTACTGTGCTGCCTTTTGTCCTGAACACGTTGCCTGAAGGCTTGTCTGTCAGAGAAGAGTACATTTTAAGTAGCTCCCCCCTAATTCTCTTTTGTCATTCTTGTATTCAATAATACTAGTAAGGCTACCATGACATCTAGTGGATGATAAGGGATTTTGGGCAAGATTTTAAAAGCAGTTAGAAATCTATAATGCTGAAATCCAAAAGAATGAAAAGAAAAAACATTATCAAGATGGGAGCAAAGAACAGAAGGCACCTGGAATGCAGGATAAGGTTCTATGCCTCTTCTTTCATCTCAAGATATTTATTATTTTTCAAAAGGGACACCACGTTCTGCAACTGGTGGAAACTCTCAGAAGTGACGACAGCTCTCAAAACTGTGGTCTTAACGGGACAGGGCTGCAACTCCTACAGTACTCATGGAGAATTAGGGGAGCTCTGTGAGTTTCTGGCTAGATCCAGTCTCTGTAAATGTCCCACCACTCATCACTGATTGAGAAGAACTGGTGCTTCTGTATTCTGAATGGGAAGCTTATGCTTTAAGCAAGTCAAAACCTATTGGACATGAGCATGTGAATAATCATGTCATTCAGACACCCTGCAGCTTTCAGAGGGACATCTGTTAAGGGTACTTCTCCCCTGATTTTTGACTCTCTGTACTTCTAAATAAAGAATTCCCCTTGCTCTGGGCTCCCTGTTCTATGCAGAGCTGTGATCCTGGAGATTGGTTGGTGATTTATTATATCCAGATTGGTCATTGTAGTTTTGTCTGAAGCTCAATCGTGAAAACAAATGCCCAAGATCTGCCTGTCTTTTTGAGCTTTTAGTTCCAGTGAGGCCACTCAGCCTGTACTGCACTCTCTTCATTATTTTACTCTTTGTTTAAAAGCTCTGAATGTAACAGAATAAATTCATTAAAGACCATTTACAATTACGAGCTACCCAGCAATACAAAGAAAAGCAACAGAAAACATCAGAGTTTTTAAAGTATTTTCAGTGGGATACAGTAGGAATATTAACAAATTCTAGCTTTGTTATTCTGTTTAAGAATAAATGCCTTGCTGGACTTCTTTCCATCTCTCTTTTGGTTTCTTCTTCATTAATTTTTTCTCTCATGGTGTTGTGTTTAATTAAAATACATCTAGGCTGATGTTTTAAACTATGCTATCTTCATATCCAAAGGAACTTTGGAACAAAATCTGATCGTATACTTTTAATTTGAAAATAATATAACCAGGTTTTGTTTGGCAGTTGTTTCAGTTAAAAAATCTGGAGGAGACTGAAATGCTTTTTAATTCTACCTGTCAATGGATGAAAAGAACATTGAATTCTTATTACTGTATGTAACTAATCATGCATGAGTCAGGAAAAAGTTTAGTTTGATATTTGGAGTTAAGTTTACACTTCCAGACCTGGTAAATAGAAATATAAGCCAAATCCAACAGTAATACCATTCCTCAAATCAAGTGTTAATCCTATATCTGTATATGTTTTTCCCTTAAATGTAAGATAAAGACTCTGGCAAGAGTCTAGTTTTAAAACATTACTCTGCTCAAGTAGCTTTTGCATAGGTTAAAAACCACAGAAAGCAGTGGACCCTGGGAGGAATGAACTATAATTTATAAGGTGGAACAAAAGTTGTTTGAGATTCAGTAGATGAATAAAATTCCAGATTAAGGGCAGGAAGGATTAGCCATGATGCATGTATAATTTTTAAATTCCTGATAGCATTATGACAAATAAGTAAAATTAAATGAAGGTCTAGTACCATTCCAAAAACTTTAAAATTATCAGTAGATTCTAATGATCCTCTCTGTTCAACACTTTCTCTTTAATCTTGACCATTTAACCTGCGGTTTGTCAAATTAATAGGATATAATCCAAAATCCAAACAGGTGAAAATATGTCAAAATATCTAGGCATTTTGCCCAGCAGTTTGATAGAATCCTACAACTGGAAAAGAGCAGAGCTCTAGCTTTTTAAAGCAACAGGATCATTACCACCTTGTGATAGTCTGGACACAGCATCTTCACTCAGAGTTGCTACAGAAACAAGAGGAAATCAGGACCCCACTAGGTCCCAGTGACAGCTACGTATTTCAGAATGCTTTATATATATTTTATTTTCCTCGATAGAAAACTGTTGGGTTTTGACAGAGGAGAAGGGGCTCTAAATGATGATTTTTCTTATGGGTCAGACAGAGCGAACTTTGCAGCTCTTCTATTCCTGGCATGTCACAAGCCTCAAGCCAAGTACAAAACGTTGCAGTAGGAAACAGCTGCTTTCCAAATCTCTGCAGAGTCATCTGTCATGTAAACACCAGGCAGCCACAGACAGTGCATCTGCTGACAAATCAGTCTTTCTCTTTAAACCAAAGTATCTCAAGGGGGAGTGCTGGGGTTGTTGTTATTAGCTAGATAAAATGGACTTATGCCAAAGGTCCCTTCAGCTTCTTCAGTAGGCATCTCAGAAACTAGTTCATTTTACTCATGTCTCATGGATGTACATTGGTGGTGTTCTTCAGAAAGGTTAGCGGCATCTATGGAGATCATTCTTAAAATGAGACAAAGACTGCGTGGCAATCAAGATGTGCTTTGATACAACAGATGAAGTTGGATATTCCCCAGTTAGGGTCTCAGGTATTACACATGAATTTCTGTTGCCAGCAGTATTTTGAAACCTCATTAAACTCTATACCAAAGTCAGATCTTGACACAATTTGACACTGAAATGTCAATGAGAAAAAGTGTTACATAATGGATCTTTGTGTGAGGTGAAGACTGATGCTGAAATTCAGAGTCAAGTTTCTGTAATCTGGTTGACAGTAATCTTTAGTCATGAAATGAGAGAATTTCCATGCACTCAGTAAGCTGATGTCCTGCAGGAGACAACGCAGCTGAATGAAAATGCCAGTGGTGCAGTAAATTCACTCCTTGAGGAAAATGACACCGTTTGATCACTAGTGTGGCCCCTGTTGATAGTCATGATGGGAACACCAGCAACTGTACATTACAATAAGCAAACCCAAAGCTTGAGTAGTTTAAAATATCTAAGTCTGTGCTTTACTAGAATGGAAATTAGCCCAACTACATTGAAAACACAGCTCTTTTAGGAGAGATGTTGAAATAGAGGTGGGAAAACAGATCTTTTCCTGTCTTGTGTGAAAGGTCTTTTGGTCCTGCTGTGTGGCCCGCACTCAGTGGGTTCTAAAGATACAACAACCTCCTTGCTGTTCCTCTGGGTCTTTAGGTGGTTCTCTGAGCTACATCTGAGGCTTAGCTATGCATATGCTGAGAGTGGAGAAGACAATACTTATGTGGAAAAATAAGACCACAAAATCAAATAAAAGCTGACAGCTAATATTTATCTATGCATCAAAAATGTGGTTTCAGAAGTTCCTGTACTTCTAAGAAACAAATTGAGTCATTTATACATCCTGTATCTGTGAAGCCTGATTTCAAAGAAAATTGAGCAAGCGTTTCTCATATCACAATAGAATCACAAACCAATTAATTCCAACCTGTAGAAATAGTGAGAGATAAAGCCACGTTCTTTTTTTTCTCATCACTTTTCCCCATCGTAGAAATAAAGAGGGTAACAATTATGCCTCCATTCTTCTTGCTTCTCATTACTTTTTTTCCCACATCATGGACCTTTCTATGGAAGTAGTTATGAGAGTGTTTTGGTTTTTTATGGAATTTCTTAATAATATTTCAACCAGACTTATTTTGGAATTCTCCATTCTGAATGTGTCAAGGGAGCTGCATCTGATTATATTGCTACATGTTCTGCTGGAATCAGCCTGCATACCAATTGACTAGCCTAGATAATTCTAATTTTCTATTCTGTCATGTATCTATCTTAAGAAAATTATTTACTTTCTAATGAAACATGAAGATGATAAATTGCAGTCAGGTTTATTATTAATCCTAGTGAATCCCTGTTTGATTTCAGTAATGATTCACCACTAGCGCTTTTTGAGATTTATAAGTTGGTTTTAATCTTTTAAACTATCTTTCAGTAATATTATATAAGCACACATTTTTTGACAAAAATCTCATGTGATAATAAGTTGAATACCATTAAAAAGTCCTCTTAAGTATTATTTCTGTACAGTAGCATTTATTGCTCAAGTTCCTAGGGTTGTCAAAGCAAGAAATCAGATTTTCTGAAGTAGGGCTTTATTCCATTGTTGCCTTGACTGAAAATCATCTTATTTTCACACTTGAAGTATTTCTTTATTAGCTCTTAAATCATCTTTTCCATTCTTTTTTTCCAGGACTGATTGTTTAGCTAGCTGTCCTATAATTAAATGCTTTTGAATAATGACATGATACTTAGGCTTCTAGATTTATAAAGCACTTGCATATTTCAAGCTCTGTTAATATATATTCAACATTGCTGTGTGTCTTTTTAGAAGGTGTAGAAATGTCAAATATGTAAGTTTAACTTTATTTAATATAACTTTTGCGTGTGTCTGTTCATGACCACCTTTTTGCTAATCAGATCTGAGCATTTGTTAATTTTTTTTTGCACAAGATAATTACTGTTTTGAATTCACAATCAGGAAATGTGGGTTGCTGAAAGATTGCTTTGAGTGCAGTAGCCTAAGAAATCTGTGACAAATCTAAATACTGAACTGAACTGGAGAGTTTTAGTCTAGAACCTTCAACAAAAGCTCATTTTAATTCCATCTGCTTCCAAATCCCTGGAAAATTTCTAAATTTGGTGAAATTGCATGTGTTAAAATCTTTAGCTTGTCTTAATACTTTCAGTTACAAGATCAGTTTGACAGCAAAGCAAGGCCAGTTTCTTTGTTGGTGGAAGAAATCTGTTTTTCTGCAAGCAGCAGGGGCAGCTCTCACTTTCTTAAACGGCCTTTTTAATAGAGTAGTCCTCGGAGTAAAGCTTCTCAAAAGTATTTGTACTTGGAATTTCTTTTCAGTGTAGAATGTTACTAACCTTTCTGCTTCAGGTGTAAAATCTAAATATGTGTTGTACATATTTCTTAGTCTACAGCAGTTCCTGAATATGTCCCTGACATTCTAAAAACCAAGCATTTATTTAGCAAGAGATCGTTCCTGCTTTTAACAGCTTCCCCCCCTAAACAAAGCAGAGGGATGGGAAAGGAAGCACAACAAAAATGGGTGGATTTGTTAAAATTGGCACTGTCAAAATCTGGTGTAGAAATGGGAGCTGTTAGATGTCAGTCTTTTTTCTTGTCCACTGCAATATGATGTCTCCTAGTGTTATGCCCTTGCATAGAAAACTGTTGCTTGAAACTATTCTACAATTTTAATAAGATAATTTTGCATATTGCAAAATAATGTATCTTTATGTTGTGCCTTTTTGTAGATTCAGGAGAATGAATAATATTGTCCTCTTTTTGTATTTTGACAAAGTATAAAAATTCCCAACTGTAGGCTGTCAAAATACCTGCTGCCTCCTGGAGAAAGCCATCTTCTTGCCTGACCTGTCTCAAAAGGGGAAATTAGTCACGTGGGACTTAAAATTGTTCTCACTTCATTTCTGATGACTCTGTTATGTGCGTGTGTGTGTGCCTATCTACAGCATTCATATATATATATATATACACAGAACATAGGCATTTTACTATATATATGAATGATATATATGATTTTATGATCAATAGTATTTCGTATGAAACATCTACTTGGCAATATGTTTTAATTTTTTGCTTTTCACTAGCAATCAGCTCTAGTGTAAGTGGTATATTAAGTCATTTTTTGCTGGAGACTTTCAGGAAGATGTACCCATCTTGTTCTGAATTTTAAGAAAAATAAAATAAGTATTTTAATATAAATATGTCTTCATTACAGACTGAACTCGGTTTCTGCCCTTAAGCAGTGAAACTTAATCTTTAATATTATGTGTTTAACATGCTTGTGATATTTCAGAGACACAACTGGCTGATTGGGTCCTTACATAACATCTTTTCTAATAGTAATGCAGTTTGGTGTACTTAATGATCTCTTTCCACAATTATTTGCCCTAAAGGCAAAAAGAAAGGAGTTGGATAATTTGAAAAGTGTTCACCTGCATAATATACAAGTATATAGTAACATTATGTTGAAGAGATAATGCTATCCTGTATGTTGAAAACATAACACAGGAAACCGCATCGTTCTGTTCTGTGTTCAGTAGTTTATATACTAAGTCAAAGCAACGTGTTCATATTTTTTTCCAGATAGTTTTCAACTTATTTTTCCCTGATCAAATTATAATTAATGTTCTATGTTTTACTCTTCCTTCCTTATCCCTTTTTCTTTTACTTAGTTGATTTCTGAATGTTTCCCTTTATTCCTGTGATCTTTTCTTCATAGCGGCACTGTCTCGGTGAAGCTTTGCATAAATCTATCAGCAATGTAAGTGATTTGCACTTACAGCTCATAAACAGGGCATGTTTGCACTAATAAATCTGCATATCCTGTAGTACTGCTTTAGAGCTTTAGTCTATGAAATAGAAGACATGGTAGTATTTGAGAGGAGAATGTTTGCCGCTAGTTATCAAAAGCTTGTCTACTGCATCCATTCATCTGTGTAAATGTATATATCACTGGACATCAAACACTACATACATGGTCATAACATGAGCAGCATTTTTATGTGATTGTTAAAGCAAGCCAGCTTGTGGGCAGTGCAAACGTGTATTGCAGAGCTTTGTATAAAGCATGAGGTTGGTGCTGTGTTATAATTTGCAGTTTTGCAGTGCAAGTCATAATTGTAGCCAAAATATTTATTTTCTTCTTTTTTTTTTTATTTTTAAAATTCTTATGTTTTTAATGTGCTGAAAACCTTGGATAAAAGTATTGAAAGCACAGAATAGCATTTAGAGCTGTTTTCTTTTGAATCCTCAGTACTGGAGTATATAAAAGAGACTTTCCAAAAACATGCAAAGGAAGGCACTAGTGTTTCCAAATGTGCTCATAGGGATATCAGTATGTGTATACTGAATAATCAAATTAATGTTTAAAATTATGTACTCTTCTAAAAAAAAAATAATAATTTTTAATATTCGATGTACTTCCAACAAAAAAAAATATTAGAAGAAGGGTAGACTAACCAGACGTGGTCGTTAGAATCATTTAATTGTTGTTGTCCTTTATTTTCTGTAGAGTCTATCGATGCAAATAGGCATCTCCAGACATTGACTCATTTCAGACTCTGGTTTTGCAGTCAACTTTAATCTGGTGAAAGTGTGAACTGCTCTTGAGATCTTGATCTCTTCTAATGTGGCTTCCTGGACAGATGTCAGATGTCTCTTGATCATCTCAGTTAAAATGTTTTCTGCATTTCCAAGAAAGAAACAAAAGAACATTGTTTTGCCTTTTGACCATGATAAAAAGGTTTACAAATGATATTCTGAGAACTATCAGAATTTGGAGCAGAAATTTATGTGGGAAAGATTTAACTTCAAGCCAAAATTTTTTTTTTCTTGTCATCTTCGTAAACATTTGGCTGAGATACCATGGTCGACTTCAACTGAATGTTACCATAAAAGGCTTTTTAGAGTATGATGATTAAATTACCTGAGGTTCTGCAGGACTGAGCAGGACTTGCCCTAGAATCGTACCTCCTGGTGGCCATGATGAATAGGACAGGGCAATGGTGCGAAACCTGAGGGACAGAAACATGGTGAAAGGGACAAGTAAGAGTGTACAGAACATCGGTCCAGTATCTTGGTGTTTCTGGCACAGGCACTCAGAGAAGGAGGAAGAGGATCTGAGTGAATGTAGTTTGTGTATAGAGTTCCCATCTATGGCAAAGAATTGGACTGAATAATCTTTTAAGACTGTCCTAACTATACATTCCTGTGATACTAAAAATGGAATCAGGGAGAAGAAAAAGAGCAAAGGAGGGGAGGAGGAGAGGGAGAGATACTGGATTATGGGATGGATGGAAGACAAGGAGTAGAGGGGCTAGAGCCAAGTCACAGTAGTGGTATCAAGGAAACAAACTGAACAGGAAAACAAAAACCAACCCGAGAGTTTATGAATGGTGGTTAAATAGGATCAGAGAGAATATTAGGTAAGAGTTACCTAAAAGCACAGAGGCATCCAGGCAGGGTCTTGTTTTCGCTAGCTGTGGTGTTGCAGAGGAATAGGAAATAAAGGCAAGGCTTACAGGTGAAAAGGAGGACCCAGGCAGGTGTGAGGTTACAGAAAAATGGAGAAAGAGACAAGAGCCTAACAGTGAATATGGGGTGAATAAAACAGATGGGGATGTGAGGAGATCAAAGGGGAGTTTAGGCAAAATTGATTGATAATTTTTTTTCTGGGAAAGAAGGTAATGGGACATTGCAGTACCAGATGATGATACATCGATGAAAATTCAGAGCTGGCCACACTGGTAGTGGTGCATGGTGCAAACTGACCACATCAGTGGAGTGAGTTTCTAGAGCTGAAGAGAAAGAATATGATATGTGGTTGCGTTACTGGCTTGTCTGACCAGCGTGGCAGACCTGGCCATGGTATGCTGAAAGGGATTGGCCAAGAAGTTCTGTGGCTTCTGAGGAAACTAGAATTCAAGGGAAGTTTTTGTATAGATAAGTAATTGCTTGAAAGATAGTATTAAATGCAGTGTTACCACAGTGAAGGCAGATTATCAGTGGAGTTACTGATGTTCAACATAATTTCGTTTGCATGTTGTTTATTAATAAATAACATGGGAAAGTTTGCAGTTTACAATAAGTTATTTGGGATGGGAAGGACAAAATCTGGCTGAAGAATTATAGAATAGCCATAAAAAGCCAAGGGACTTGGCAATAAAATGGCAGACGCAATTCACTATAGATAAATGTAAAATGATATACAAGGAAAAAACAAATTCTAACTTTTTGTATAAAATGATGAACCTTACCTTGACTCATTACAACTAGAGAGTATATTTGGGGATTATAATACATAATTCCATGAAAACAGCACCTGAGTGCTCAGTAGCAGTCACAAAAGCAAATAAAACATTAGGAATATAGAAGGGAGACAGAGAACATACGATGTAAAACTGTGCCACTCATTTTAAATACCTTGTGTTGTTTCAGTTTCCTAATCTTACAAAGAAATAGTAGAAAAGGGGCAAAAGTAGGAGAAGTGTGATGATAGATAGGAAGTAGCTTTCATCCAAGGAGTGACTCATTAACCCAAAACTGTTTAATCTGGAAAAGACGGTAAGAAGGGATATGATGGAGATCTAAAGAAACATGCATGGAATACAGTAAATGAAAGGGGAACTTATTTTAACTCCTTTACATTACATGGCCATTTCCACTGGTGTGTCTATTAAAGATCTGGAACTTGCCACAGGATATTGTGGATACTAAAAGCTTAAATGGATTCAGCTGGTGGTTGTACTTTATGGACCTTTCCTTCCATGAATTTGCCAAAAATCCATCTTCTGGTTTAAGAAGAATTGCTGGGTGCTGGTAAACTTTAGTCAAGATCCCTACATTTATCTCTTGGTCTTGTACTTTTCCCAGTGTGACCAGGTTCGGCCATTTCTGGAGGCAGAACAGGAGATTAGACAAACCTTTGGCCTGACATTGTGTAATTTGTATGTGACATTTATATTTAATGTCCTCAGTAAAGGGTTTTACACGTACACTTCAGATTGCAGAATGTAGTATAGGCCTTCACTATACTCCCTCAGTTGTAGCTAATCTTCAAATGTAACTGAAGTAAAACACTATTGATACAGTATACCTAGAAGATAGAGTATACATACCCAGACACAGAGACCTGATGAATTAGAAATGCAAGGAGCCGTGGTCATTTCATTCAAATTAATTTGCTGCTTTTGTTTTAGTGCTAATTTTACTTTAAATGTAGCTTTTTTCTTTCAAATCTGCTTAAGTTGTGTCCTTCTGAAAAAAACCCAAAAAACAGTAATGTTCATGCTGCAAGTTGTCCTTGGTATGCTGCTATTAACTTTTTGCTAAGTGGTGGGTCTTAATGTTCTATAAATCAATAAATTGATGTGCAATGTCGTTATTAATTTGTCAGAATTAATTTTAAGATATGCCGAATGAAATGACACTATCAGACTTTCATTTATAATTCAATTTTATGTATTGCTCTGAGGCTTGAAAAGTATCCTTAATGATTCAAATTCTTTGTCACGTGGCAATTTTCTTTTTCCTTTCTTTGAGTCACTGTAGTGAAAATCTTGGTTTTGGTTAAATATTGTTTCCAGAATTGGAGAATGTATCACTCTTGTTAAGCCTAAAGAGTATAGAGGTTTAGTATTTTCAGCCTGAAAAGATGCTATCTGTTGTGAAGAGCAAAGTATAACATTATTATAAAAAGAAAATGGGCCTTTTTTAAGGAGTACAGTGTACTCTAATGTATTAAAATGCTTGTTGGCTGAAAAGCATCATTTGTAAAATCAGGTATTTCTAAGAAGATGAGTATTTGTGACTCAAATTGCTTAGATCTTGAAAACCAGCAGAAACATCACTCTCATAGTGTTACTGAGCTAACAAAAAGGAGGTGGTGGGAATCCATCAAGTGTAACATTTTATTTGTGATGTAGAGTGCTGTGCTACCATTCCTTTTTAAATGGGAAAACTACTAGTAAGATAGGACCATATCATATCAAAAGAAACAAAAATCCATCAATCTAGATGTCAGAGGCTGTCCTCCCCTATCAGCTGTAGGATTTCCCTTACAGAATTGATGTGATGTCCCCCTGAAGAATAATTCATTTTAACAATCAAGTGTTTGATATCAAACCTTGATAGTGTCATTTTTATTGATCTTTATACAAAACCGAGAAGTGAATTTTGATAATTGGGCCATGAAAAATTGTGTTATAGGTAGTGCTGTAGTATGAACTGACAGATGTGATAACCCTTACAAAACAATATAAATGTAACTACTGTATCTCTGAGATATATAATATTAATAACAAATTCAGTAGATGGATGACATTGCTTGTCTCTCTTTTAATGTTCTGGCTTTAAAATTTCAAGTGTTTTCTTCCTTTGAATGTTTTTTTTCAGAGTTGATGTTATTATTGATGGCTAATGGATATTTGCTGTTCTGTTGTGGGTTAGATCTCCTTACTGAAGCAGAATCTGGAGATGCAGCTTTCCCAGTCACAGAGCTCTTTGCAGCAGCTACAAGCCCAGTTCAGTCAGGAGCGACAGAGGCTGACTCAGGAGATACAGGAATTAGAAGAGGAGCATCAGCAAAGGCATAAGTCACTTCAGGAAGCCCATATCCTTGCCTTTCAAAACATGGAAGAAACAAAAGAGCAAGAACAAAAGGCACGTTCATAAGGATATTCTGAATTATGTAGAGAATGTTGCCATTTTAGCAATTTATGTACACAGTTGGAAGTAGTAAAGGAAAGTATCTCCATAAGCACTAAATTTCCTTTTCAGTTGATGTCATACATGACATGGGTGTTAGTGGGGAGCAAAAATCCCCAAATGTGTATTGTGTGAGCAATTGCCCTAGACCCATCTATGGATCTTGCACCTTGCTTGCTATTGTAAATATACCCATAGATTGTTTTTTCCTCTTTTCCAACCGTGAGTAGAATGGAGTTTTTGTGCACAGGTAATCTCAATAACTATCAGCCACTGAAAGGAAAAATATAGTAGTAGGGTAACAGTGCAAGAAGAAAATATGAGCAACATTAGTGCATTTTTAATAATTTCTATAGTATGCCAATGCCTGACTTTTGTTGCCAGTTGTTTATTGTTTAATTTTATAAATTCTCTCCGCTGATATAGAACAGACTTTGTCAATTCTGATTTCATAGGAATTAGAAGAACGCTTACAACAGAAGCACTCAGAAGAACTTCAGGCACTGAAAGAAACACATAAACAAGCCATGGAAGGCTTCAAACTGGAGATGGAACAGGAACTTCAGACACTACGATTTGAGCTGGAGGATGAAGGAAAAGCTATGTTAGGTATACTATTTTCAAATTTGCCAGTGGGTCCAAAAAAATTATTTCTACTCATGCTAATATATGCACACATGTATGTATGGGTGTGTGCGTATGTTATAACACTGTACTGTGTCTCAGAGTCATACAGTGTTGACCTGTAGAGCATATAGTGACCTCTTAAGATCACTATAGGTAAGCCCAAAATGTCACTTTTGAAAAATATTACACTTAAGTATTTTTGAAAAGAATAAGCAACCAAATTTGTGATGGAGAATGTTTCAAAAACTAAGAGGAATAGAATGACAGGATAGTTGCTTAAGCTGATATAAACTGTGTGTTAGGTCAGCAGCAATACTTGACAGAGCTAGACTGGTTTTGTTAATTAATGTAAACATTTGCACAATAAACCTTTTTTTTTCTTTTTTTTTTTTTATCATGGTAACTAGCTTCCTTGCGCTCAGAGCTAAATCATCAACATGCAGCAGCAATTGACCAGCTGAGGCACAACCATCAACAGGAGTTGGTAGCTGCCAAGATGGAGCTTGAAAGAAGCATAGAGCTCGGCAGGCGACAGGTAGGCGGCACTGCTGGCAACTGACCGCAAAACTGCGTAATTGGTATTTGTTTTCTCTTAGCTGGAGGCAAGAACTGTTGTGAACAAACAACAAACATGTAATCCTTCAAAGTCAGCCAGCACCGGCAGATAGTGCATCTCTACCAGTTTATCTAAACTTCCTTGTTTAGCTTTTTCTTCCTTCAACAAACTTCATCCAAAGCTTAGTAAAGGCTGTTGTATCAAGGCAGTTTCCCCTCAGAACTGTGCAGCTGGAGCAGTTGTGAACAAACAACAAACATGTAATCCTTCAAAGTCAGCCAGCACCGGCAGATAGTGCATCTCTACCAGTTTATCTAAACTTCCTTGTTTAGCTTTTTCTTCCTTCAACAAACTTCATCCAAAGCTTAGTAAAGGCTGTTGTATCAAGGCAGTTTCCCCTCAGAACTGTGCAGCTGTCTGGGAGCACTGGCTTGCCTTGGGAAGAAAGTTTCTGATTCTCACAAAATTCTCCTCATCCTCAGCTGCTAGCAGGACTTAAACAGGAAAAAGCTGTTTCTCTCCAAAGCCTAGATGATATAGCTAAGAACTGGTTGATTAAAACCAAATGATGCTTCGAACTTAAGAGGTAGCTTAGTCTTGTTGTTTCGAGAGACAAATTGGAAAAGATAAATTAACAACTTAAGTGGAGAATGGCATAACAGCTTGCAACAGTTCCTTTAAAAAAAAACCACCCCTGAAACCACAAAATGGAAAACAAACCCCCACATCCCAAATCCAGTGTGGACTACCTTTGCTTTCAGCAGCAAACTGATTCATTCACTTTTATATTTCATTTTTCACTTTATGCACAATCATTTTTTCCAGTAGTAACTAAAAATTCAAAAGCTTGATCTCTATTGACAGGCTCCTGGAAATAAGAGGACTAGAAAATGACTTCTTTATTTGCCTATACAGTAGGCTTTTCAGGATTGATTTTCTGATAGTCCAGCACCAAGGAGGTGGAATGGTTTTAGAAATATATTAACAGGGGAAACAGATTTAGTTGGATGTAGTCTTTACACAAAAACAGATAGTCAAAGATAAGCCCTTCTTTTTCTCTTCCTTGCTGGTTTAAAAGTGCGAGTGCTAGAGGCAAAAATGTGCTGTCAGCGGTGAATGAAAACATGGATTCGTAGAATCGTAGAATTGTCTAGGTTGGAAGGGACCTTTTCAGATCATCAAGGATTTAGGAGGGTATAGCTTCAGTCATGTGTTGTTTAAAGCTAGAGTGAGACATCTAAAGGAGATGTCAGGAAATGAAGTTTACAGTACAAGAGCAAGTCTTTGATCCAACCAAATGCAATGTACTTTTGGCCTCAGTACGATGACCTGCTAAGCATGAGCTTTAGTTGTACCGAGGGTAAAGCAATTGTTTTTTTCCTGTGTTAGAATGCTCATCAGTTTTAATTATAATTTGTGTCAGCATCAAAAACTGAAATTGTCTGTTCAATGGAAAATTCTGCTCAGCTGTTATCTTCCAAAAGCAAGTATTGTGCTTCTGAGAGGCAATTCTAAAGTATTTTTTGCTGCTACTACTTATATCATAGGAGAAAGAATTCTTATGCCGAATATCAGATCTACAAGATGAACTGAGACACCGAGACCATCATATAGCTGAACTGGACAAAGAGATTCTGCATCTTCATGAAAATATAAGTGCATTGACTAAGGAATTAGAGTTTAAAGGCAAAGAAGTTCTTAGAATACGCAGTGAATCAAACCAACAGATCAGGTATGATTTTTTCCACTCTAAACTCAAATGTCTATTATTTCATTTATTGTTTTATTTAAATTAAAAGCTGCAAATGGTAAAATTTCTTATCCCCTTAACAAGTGATGTTATATATCATTTAGTCTTCTTTAGAAAAAGCTATGCCCATTATTAGTAAAGTTAGTGAATATTACCATACAGTTAAGCTGCATTTCAGTGATACATATTTTAGTAGCAGTCCTCACAACTGTTGGGTTTTGGTTGTGTTTTTTTAAAATTCATTATATTTGTTTATTTAAAAAAGCATTAAAGGAGATGCATTTTCCATGAAATAAGCTAGAAGACTGGAGGACAGTAAGTAGTGGGTTTTGATGAGTCAGTAATTCCTTCTGTGTTGTCTGATATTATGTAAAAGCCATTAGAAGCATGGCAGAAAATCATGATGAACAAACGAGTCTGATTTTAGAATAACTCTTTTTTTAACAAAAAATAAATTAAACAGGATGCATGAGCAAGATTTAAGCAAGAAACATGAGAAAGAGATGGATGTCTTGACAGCAGATCACATCAGAGAGAAACAAAGCATGCTGGCAGATTTTAATAAGACCCAAGAGCTGCTCAAGGAAATTAATTCAGCTTTGCAAATTTCGTAAGTTTTGTTGCATTAAAAAAGTTTGTATGTAGCTGCGTTTGAGTGAACAGTTTATTCTGGTGTCCACAAGTTGCTGAAGATACTGCAGAGTTGCAGGTGTGCAAAAACCTCAACCAAGTATGGGGCCTAATCTTGCATTCTTTAGGCAACACAGCTCTGTAAGCTGTAGGGGAGTTTAGTGAGATTAATTGCTAGGGATTTGAGACTGAAAAATTTCAAGTGGGAAAGATGTTAAATCTGTGCAGTTCTTCAAAAATTGGAGAAAACATTGTTTCAAATGTTTGGTTTTTTTCTCAAACATTTATACATGTTTTTTGAGAACACAAGAATTTCTTCAACAAATTTATAAACAGTATAATATTTTCTGTTAAGAAGTCTGATTATGGGACATAAGTAATGCAAACATTTTTAGGTTTGGTAACACAAGGAGAATTAGTGTGTGAAATGGATTATACGAGCGTTACCATAACAGAATACTTAGTGTGTCTCAGAGTCAAAATGCCACCTGGGGTTACACCACAGAAGCGACGTAGCAGTCTGTTGTCTGGCTGGTGATTCCCTGTCTTCCACATCCTTCATTCTTATCTTGGTGACATAACCCCTTTGGTCAGAGTTTCTGGCTGAGGTTTTATTGAGCACATTGAGGGTTTCCTGACACAAAGTTGTCACTGAGGAATTTGTATTTGCAACACAAAAGATTTATGGCAGAGAAAATAATTGGCTCTAAGTATATGATTGAAAACTTTTTAAAGTTAATATCAATTAAAAACGGACAATAAAGCCAAAATACATCTAATTCTTTCTTGATAATGAGCACTCAGAAATTGTCCCCATATAAGATGGGTATAAAAATTCTAGTTCTTACTCCCTTGTAATCATCCACATGCACACTTCTGCACACTGATAAATGTGGTAACTTGCCATTGAGTAAGTTAGGTGTATGTTACCTTCTCTTTACTGAATTTATCTTGTATGAGAATGAAGTTGTTTGTTTTTCAGTGTCCTGGGATTTACTGAATTTAGTTGGGTCCCCACAACTGGCTTGTGCTCAACTTAGAGCTGCGAGGAAGTAGGCACTGGTCTAAAGACAGCAAAAGTTATCTAGGGTGCCCTCACCTCATTTTCAGTGTGTTATCTCTCTAGTTAAATTGAAGCAAGGAGCTTTCAAAAGAGGAAATAACGTAAACAAACAAACAAAAACAACCCCCCAAAAACCCAAAACCAGAAGCAGCTATTTATTTCTTGAGTAACTGTTTCCAGGTTCTGCCTTACTTAAGTGTGGCCTTGGAAACATTTATGAAATGCAGAATCTATCTTACAGTAATTGAGAGTGGGTATCATTAATTAGGCTCTACAATTAGCATCTTTAAATTACATAGTATCTTTTTGAAACAGAAAAAAACCCAAACACTTCTCTGAAATATCTGAAAATAAAAGGACAGCTGTGCGTAACTGTGTACTATCCTCTGGGGATCTGTATACAATAGCTTAACCCAGCATAAAATGTACACACAGGAATTAAGCCAGCTGAGCATATTTCTCTTCTGCTGAGTCAATTTGCCTTTTATGCAAATAAAAACAGTCATGTTGTTCACATTTATAATGTTTTATGTAAATGCATTATATAATCTCAGATTATGTACAGGTTATTTGAAGGTTATAAATATAATTTAATATGAATTGTTTTTCTCAAAGTAAGAGTCACATAGCTGCTTCTGAGGGGAAAATATTTATCTAAAGTGACAAATTCTGTCTATTTCCAGGTGGCTTGTGGAATTAAGTTTGAGCTGATTTAAACATCTTAAATTCATAGATTTTTCTCAGGGTTTGGTTGGTTGTTTATAAATATCTTTTCTTTTTTCACCAAGTTTGTTAAATTTCCTGAATCTGTTCTGAAACTTCGTTCACTAATCTACATGAGGGTTGAGTATGAGAGGCAAGTATTTTAATAGTTTCCTTTGGAGCAATGTTTGGCATCATGAGCGTTATATTTATGTTTCAGAGAGACACAGTTATTTGAAATTGTCAGGTCTTCAAAACTTGTTCTTTAAGAAGAAATAAGGAGGTTTATGCAGTTACTTGTACAATTCCTCTCTCACTAGGCTTATTTCACTTCTCTCCTTTAATGCTTTCCCACCAGGCATTTCAGGTTTCCTCCTATTTTTTTCAAATGTTTATCAATTGTTACATTTCTCTTAATCCAGATATCCTAATATCCAAGTGTTATTGCTTTTCTTTTGCAGCTCATTCCTTTATTTCTCTAATGGTACTAAGTTGCTTTTGTGGAGAGGAGTTAGTTACCTGTTAGTCTTCACTGTTCTTGGATATCTTTGTCCCAGTATGTTCCACATGAACTGAGGAAGACGGTGCCAGCCTTGTCTGTCTGTCCAGTTTCTCCAGTATCACAAGAATGCATCTTTATTCAGAGTAGTCATCTCTAAAAAGAAAAATGATACTGTTTGTGTTCCTCATCAAGAAAATGAATTGCCAGCTTTTAAAATTTATGTTAATATTAAATATAATGCAATGTAGTTCCTATATTTTACATAAGAATCAATCTTAGCTATGTCTTCTGTAATTCTACTGTCTATATTACAGTTCTGAATGCCTTCTTTTCAGTCTGACTTCCAAGAGGCCTTTTCTCAAAAAACTTAGTTCTGCATGTGCACAAAAGATATAAAGTTTTTAGAATTTTGCCCAGATTATTAATTACTGGAGCAAAGGCTGTTGTTATTGTTGATCTATTTTCTTTTAACTCACTAAAGCTGAATGATAACATAGAAATTAGTTTACTTCAAGGTGGTAAGAAAATCACCTTCTGCTTTTAATCCCTGAACTCTCTTTTTGTACTAATCAAAAATGTGACTGTACACTCATTATTTAACACTGGATCAGGCTAAAGGGGGTATTCTTCTTTCCTATAAAGTTTAGAAGAAATGGAGGAAAAATATAAAACCAGAGAATCAAGACCAGAAGACTTGCAGCTTATCTCAGAACTGAAAGACCTAATTGCAGAGCGGGACCAGCTCATAAAGAAATTGATTGTAAGACTTTCATGCTCTCTTGGTTTAATATCTTGACAGATATAAAAAAGTTAATCTATTTAAAAGTGTTTGAAATGCATTTAAAGAATCAATCCTGCTAGCATGTTATTCACATTCTTTAACACATTATTCCTGTGGTTTCAGTGACTCAAAATAGTAAAACTAATTAGATATAGAGAGTTTTGCACAATCAAGCATAATACATTATTACAAAAAATATTTCAGCATGACCTTGATCAGATGTCTACCATCTCCAATCCTGGACTAAGCCAGCCATGAAAGCCATATCCGAAATAGTCTTGTCTGTGAGGTTTCTAAGACCAATTTTCTGATCCGCGGAGCTTCCCAAATTCAGAGCACAACCCCCTGACTCATAGTAGTCTGATTATAACCTGATTCAGAAGTGAGAAGGAATGAGGAAATTCAAATTAATTAGAGGTTAGAAGTTAACTATACTGAGTCTTTCCCAGTTCATAATTCATTAGGCTGTGCTCATTCTCAGGAGCATAGAACTGCAACAGAACTGCATAAATAGAAATTATTTAGTATTTACATATAATAATATATAAAACATTAAATACAAAATGCAAGTTTTAGAATTATCAGTTTCTTTAAAAACTTAAATTTATTTGAGATCATTTTATAGGCAGATTTGGCCACTAACTGATGGAAAAATGCATAAAAAGAAGTTTCTATTTGTTCTTCTTTTTAGGAGGACAAAAAGTTCTATCAGCTGGAGCTAGTTAACAGGGAGACTAACTACAACAAAATGTTTAATGCAAGCCCTAATGTTGGTGTTATTAATCCATTGGTGAAGGTATGTTCCATGGACTTCATTGCTAAAGTAAAGAAAAAGAAATCTAAACTTAGGATATAGTAAAAAGAAGAAATATATGTGTATGTGTGTGTGCCTGCGTGTATACGTATTTCACTCTTAAAAGACATGTTCAAAACAAGGAACATAGTTTTCCATTTGTCTCTACTTATTTTTGTGTAGGTTTGTTTCTTTTGTGTTGCTGAGGGATCCACTGATACTGGTGCCCTAGTTTGCTAGATGTGTATGACATAAAGCACAGTTCCTTCTCACAAAATCAAAAGAGAAAAGTGACAGGCAACAGAGGGCAGTGCTGTAGCATATAACAGAGAACAGTGACACCCATAACCAGTTTTAGTTTCATTGTTTTTCTTGGTTATTTTGGGAAGTGCGAGGGCAACTTCATTTTTCAGGTGGTGCTCAGGATGGAAGAGCATTAGAAAGACAGGGGGAGAGGGGACACTGAAGGAAGAAAATAAGGGTAAGAGGGGGAAGGAGAAGAGTATGAGAAGGGCATGGAATGAGTCTGAATGGAGAAAGACATAGAAATACTGAAGAACTGAACTGGTATGGATTGTGGGGGCAGCAGGAGACAGAAGTCAGTCTCTAGCCTTCTCAGTTATTGTCACCTCCTGTATGTGAAAACACTTCAGTAGTAACCTTTTCCAGATCTTTCCATCCTGCTGCCAGTGAAGGCTACTGTACAAGCAGGCATAGTCGCCTCCCTGTCACTTCAAAAGCCAGCAGCATTCCTTCATGATAGTTGGACTAGATGATCTGAAAGGTCCCTTCCAACCTAGGCAATTCAATTCTCTGATTCTATGAGGAACATGAATAGCCTGTAGCAGGCCACCTTCATGCTATTTTTCACCACTTCAGGAATAAGAGTAAGTCCTCTGACATTTCCTTCTTTGCCCCCACTGTTAAGGCAGAACAACAGGGGAAGGTTTCAAAGCAGAGGGTAACCCAAGGGGCACAACAAGCAGCTCAGATACCTGAGAGCTTCAGCGATCAAGGTTCAGGCTTGTTATTTACAAGGGGGTCTGGCTCCGTTATCTGAGATCAGGCTGGGTTATTGAGCTAAGCTTTAGTGTAGTTTCACATCAGATCAGCGCATTTCCCACTTCTGCACAAACTCTGCTGCAAATTGTCAGTATTCTCCTACGTTTTTCAGGAGCCCAGCACTCTCACAAGCTTACCTGTGGATGCCTAACTTTTATGCATAACTGCATAAAAGAACTTAGTTTGGGCCCAGTAGAGACAATTCCAGGACTGCCAGATACAATTTGAATGCTCTGTTTTTATGTGATAAAGGTCATTTGACATTTTTGGAAGTTTGTCTGAACTACTTTATAAAGATGTGAAATGTAACCATCAAATATATAAGCTTGTGTTTTGTGTGAAATCTGAAGTGTTTGGGAAAAGTACTTCAACATCAGATTTCCGTAGTGATAATTCATATATTTTTATAATATGTTTCTATCACTTAAAACTAAGACTTTAAAACCATCCTGTGTGCTAGAACATTTTGATCTCTCGTTTTGTGAGTTGTGGGCTATGTTACTTTCTTTTGTCAAAGCACGTACTGTGTTACTGGAGAATGAATTACAAAGAAATGGAAAATCTCATTCTCTTTTTTTTTTTTTTTTTTTGTAATAAGAAGACAGCATTTAGGAGTTACTACAGGCTTTGCATATTAATGCAAAATTGCAGCCATTGCAGTATGTATTACGGCTTCTCTAACTTATGCAATGGATCTGTTTAGTGTTACATTGTTATATCTGAAGTTTCTTAATACTTTGCATGAATTTCATGGAAACAATACACACAATTTTGTCTCCAGATTTGACTGCTTCAGAAGCATAGACTGTTTTATAGAGAATAAGTATAAACTGCAGTATTTTTCTAAGCACCTATCTGGATAATACACATTTTTCAGAAATGAGCCACTCATGAAGCACACAGATTTAACTACGGTGTGTTTAACACACAGTTTTAATTACAGTGTATATTACGTTGCAGATGTATTTTACTACCAAACTATTTTTTCCACCATGATGTTATTTCTTGCTTCTTCAGCTACTACAGAAGTGAAGTGTATGGGACGATCTTAGTTGAATCCTTTGCAGTTAATGATCTTTCACCGTAATGCTTAAAAAAGATTGTTTTCTGTTATAGCTTTCTGTTAAATTGTTGGGGTTTTTTAATTGTATTTTGACAACCGCTTACACCGTGTGGCTACAATTAGCAGCATTTGCATCTGCCAACCCCGGAGAGGTCAGGCACTGAAACCAAAGCTGGCAGAGAGCAAAGCAGAAGAAAGTTCAAACAATAGGACTCTGTCTCCGTTTGAGCTCATGCCCACCCTTGAATAGAGCAGCTCTTCTGTTTCAAGGGGAATTGTGCTGGAAAATATTATAGAGAAACAACATGAGATTCTACTTGTCTTTCACTTCATTTAGTTCGTGTCGTTCTTAGGCCCTTAAGGGGTTTTTCTCCTAGCTGCTTTCTTAGGGTTGCATATGGGTAATTGAATGAAAGTATTTATTATATATTCAAATGATACATAATTTATGAGAATAAATGAATCCATTCATTCAAAAATCCTATTTTTGGAAATAAGGCTTTTTTAATGTTAATATTTTATTGTGGATATGGAATATTTGTTAGAAGTCAGAAAATACACATGGCGTTCTGTCACAGCTATTTTTAGAAAGCTATAGAATTATTTGAAGCATTCTTTTACATTAAAATATCTATTAAAATAACGAGGATAAATACCGATTCTTTTGTATGATGTGTTTTGAAAAGTAAAATAGTGATATAAAAATGTTTTTTAAAGTATTTTTAGTTTCTTAAAATACTATCAGTAGAAGTACAAAGAGTATAAAGAAAGGGAAAAAGCTCAGTTGTGCCATCTGGTGTCCAGAAGCAGCAGCTCTCCTAGTGCTCCCTTGTGCAAGAAACTGAACAAGGCCTTTTCCTTGTGCAAGAAACTGAACTCCTATACAATAATCTTCTTCTCTTTAGCAGTATTGCTATATTGCTTGCATAATTGCTTTAAAAGAAACGTAGCTGCTTTTCTAGGTTCCATGTTCCAGTTAACAAAATGTGTCTCAGTGATGGGGTGAAACCTGTTGGAGAGTTTCAGTTTTTTTGTCATTGAAATTTGCTGTAATTACATTTGTCAGCAGAGCTGTTCCGCTGACAGGAAGAAAAGATTTAAGTAAACATGAAAGGTTTAACAGACTAAATGACAATTTTGTTGAAAACTTCCTATTTCCAATGCCTTAAACAGACCAAAATGTTGTACTGAAAGATCTCATCTAATACGTTCCTTGCTTATTACACTAAGTCTTAATAACTTAATCATCTTGATCAGAAATTTGATTTTTCAGTGAAAATTCGTTGCGCTCAGTTCTGGTCAAAGCAAACAGTAAAACTACAACTGGGGGAAAAAATGTAAAAAAAATATAAAAAACCCCAGCCCAATCTGTCCCAAACCAGTCATCACTAAAAATTTACATTTGCAAACATCCTCATCTGTCCTGGTGCAAGAAGCCTTCCTTACATTTGTTATTTTTAATGCAGCAAAAGAAGAAGAACGATAAATCAACAAACAGGTTTGTGAGTGTCCCCAATCTAAGTGCTCTGGAATCTAGCGGAGTGGTGGGCAATGGACATCCCAACCGCCTGGACCCCATTCCCAACTCACCCATCCACGATATTGAGTTCAACAGCAGCAAACCACTGCCACAGCCAGTGCCACCCAAAGAGCCCAAGACGTTTTTGAGGTGAGCACTGCCTCACCAATCTTTTTCTTTTTTTCTTTTTTTTTTTTTTTTGCTTAACTCAGGAAAATTTTGCAATCCTACTAAGCTGAATCCCACTTGCTTTGAGAACCTTTCAGAGGTACAAGTACTCTTATGGCATTTTTAATTTTTACATTATATTTGTAACCTCTTTATAGTATTCCTTTTTATTGTAGACCTTGTTTGAAATGTGAAGTACTCTCTCACTTTTTCATGTCTTGAACTTTGAAAACCCTTTTAGATACTTTAATAGAATTCATGTGGTTCCAATTGTTTACATAGATGAACAATTGTTTTAAATGTTGGTGTTATTTACTGATTGTCATTTAGGAATTGATACTAGCACAGAACTTCTTTCAATCAGTATTACATGGTAATGGTTTTTATGTAAGAAAAGTATTTTCTGTGCCACATGAATGTTTTGTGTTTCCCCTTTCCTCACCCAAATCAAATTGTCTCATAGGAGTAGCCTTACCCACAGCAACAGGAGGAGCTTGCTTGGAGGCTTAATGCTGAGCTGCCAGTAAGCAAAACCAGCATTAATTTCTCAAGTAATTCTCTCACAAATTAATATAGTAAATGGAATAAATTAAAAAATGGCATTTTAGAGGCAGGATTTTAATCTTTTGGCTTTATGTGCCTACACGTTAAATGCACTGGAGTGATGTACTCTGTGTTCAGCAGGTGCTGATCTCTTACCTCTAAGTTGGTAACTTAAAGCAATGTGGAATTGCCACTTCCACAGTTGGTTGTTTACTCTCTCTTTTGCTTTAATGTGAAAGACCACATACCTAGCAACTACTAATTATAAAAGCAAACAAATAATAGATAAGGGAAAACAGTCTATTTCAATAAAATAATCTTTAAAAAAAACTACTGTTGCTTATTTTTCCTGTGCATGCGATGTGCATGAGTGTGCTCGGATACCTACAGCGTGCATGTGCATGAACTCATGGGCTGTCCTGCTGGAGTTGCCATTCTGAATTGGTTTGTGCTCTTTGTAATACAGTAATTACTGATTTTTATTGATAAGGGAACTTAATTGTGTAATACTTATTACACAATTAATTGTAGTATTTATAGACTGAGGGGGGGGTCTGATGAATGCTTATAAATACTTAAAGGGAGGGTGTCAAGAGGATGGGGCCAGTCTTTTTTCAGTGGTGCCCAGTGACAGGACAAGAAGAAATGGGCACAAACTTGAATATTAGAAGTTCCACCTAAACATGAGGAGGAACTTCTTTACTTTGAGGGTGGCAGAGCCCTGGCAGAAGCTGCCCAGGGAGGTCGTGGAGACATTCAAAACCTTCTCTGGTTCACATTCAAAACCCACCTGGTCCTTCTCTGGACACATTCAAAACCCACCTGGACACATTCCTGTGGGACCTGCTCTAGGGGGACCTGCTTTGGCAGGGGGTTGGACTAAATGATCTCCAGAGGTCCCTTCCAACCCCATGTGATTCTGTGATTAAATTTAAATTAGATTTAAGGATTCTCTCTTGCTTCTGTTCAAGGGGGAAACAGATCTTGTTTGCAGCGCAGCAGTTTTATTTTTTCCTAAAATATTAGTGTATTTTAAACGTGTGCATGAACAATGCAAGTGATATCTGTGATTAGTGTTAAGTATTAAAATAGCGTGTATTTTTGTTCAGTTGCCAACCAGTCTTTGTGAGCACGTCTACAAATATGATGCTGGCATCATATTTCTGAAAATTAACTTTACCACAGGAAAAGGATGCTAAAAGAGGACCTTCTACAGTCACGCTTTTTCATGAAAACATTTTTTATTCTTCCAGAAAACTTACAGCTGTTTGAGATTTTAAATTATATTTTCCAAAATATTCTTTGCCCACCCTGTCACGTGGCTTCTGAACTGCCGTGCCCGTGCTGCTGATGCTCTCCAATGGAGTGGATGATCTCAGATTCTATAGGCAGACATTCAGTCCCGTCCCGAGGCACACTGGCCATTAACCCATGGGAAAACTGACTGCCGTCTTCACTGAGTATTCTCTGTGATTTTCCTTTCCTCCTGACACTTGTACGTTTTGTGTAGTTGTGGGATAATTGTTCTTTTTTCTTTCTGTGAATGTAGCCCTCCTCAGACTGACGCTTCACCAGTGGCTTCGCCAGATCCCCAACGCCAGGAGTGGTTTGCCCGATACTTCACTTTCTGAGAGCTGATTGGCTTCTGTGGCACAGCGTGACGTGGACGGTTTTTATAAGAGCATGACCTTAAGTAAACCCTCATGTGAACAAGCTTTCCTGTAATTTGTCAAACACTGTGAATGAGAAAGTATTTGTCTTTCTGATTTGAAACTTCACTGTATTTCATGTTCTATTTGTTAGAATCACTTGACATGGTACTATATAATGTGTGTAATTATAACTATTATTTTTATTTAAAATGGAAGAATCTTTAAACTTTGTAATTACTACATAATAAATTTTGGTAGAACAAACATAATGCTTTCCCCTTTTTTCCTATAAATGTGTTTTCTTTGATTTCAGGTAAGGCTTTTCCCCCAAAAATAACATAATTGCATGGTTACTATAAATACAATTGAAATTGTAAAAGGAGAAAGTACATACATCTCTCTCTCTCTCTCTCCAGTTTGGGCAGGATATGTTTAATGCATCCCAATTCTATTCTGTTCCTTTGTAGCAGTTTAAAAAACTGTCTCTTTCTAACACTTAAAAGGATGAATGTGAAACAAAGCAAAACTAGTGTAGGTGCTAAAAAAGCCACAAACCAGGAGCTGTTCACTGGGGGGGGGGGTTGACTCCTTACCTGTTGCCCGTGAGATTTTGCCAACTGGTTCTAACCAAACATTTTGTCATTGAATTTAAGCAGAAACTGTTCCCACAAGTTACATATTTCTTTTATGAATATTAACAAAAACATGATTTAAACATTTTGAATACCGTACTAAGTATCTTTGCATAAATCAAAAATCTGTATTTTGAGCATATAGTCCTGCTTTGGATAAAATTCATGTCTGAAATGAAAAAAAACCAAACAAAGAGCCACCCAGATTTTTCCCATTTATACATACTATGGATACAGACCTTTTATTAAAACTTAATTTCCTTCCCTTGTCTATATTAAAGTTTTTTCTCCTTCAACTGTTCAGCTAGTGAGCATGATTCTCCAGTCTACACCTTTTATGATGCCAGTGTTGCTCGAGAAATTTGCTGCATCATCTAGAAAACTAGAGCTTATTGTCTTTTTTAATATTTTTTCATTCAAAGATTACCACAAAATAAGTCACACTGGTAGTCTCAGGGAGAAAATTGTCTCTTTGTTTTATGAATGTATTTTTAAGCTGAATCTCTTATCTTTACAAAGCAGGAGAAAAATGTTTGAGTTATTGGAATAAGGTTTTAGTTAGCACGTACAAAGGTCTTGAACTTTAATATTTCATCTGAAGCCCTAACTACATCCTTTTTTCGCTATATGCACAAAGATAAATACCCAGATAAAGATACTTGCTAATTGCAATGAGTTTTATATGTAGTATATGTATAAATGAAAAATTTGTATGTTTTCATATAAACAATATAAAATCTTCTAAATGAACATTTTAAAACTTTTATCTTATAATTCAGCTTGAAAACTCCACTGAAAGCTGTATTCTGGTGATGCTGCCGTGGATTAAAGATGTATACAGCAGACTTTCTGTAGCTGGTGGACTCAACTGTAGGTATATGCAACTTTTTAATTTTAGAAGAAAGCCATATTGGGCAAAATGTCAGATTTCTTGGCTGTTACCCAAAATAAAATACACTAGCTTATTTTGTTATAACGTTCTCAAGTGAGTGTTGTGTATTTTTTCTTTCATGCTTTGAAAGGGCTCAGCCTTTTTCTCCCAGGCTCCACTTCATTTGTGCCTTTTTACAGATGGAATTAATAAAAGAACAGTAATCCCGAAGACGATCATGTCTGCATTTACTTTGCCTCCTCAGTAAAGGTGTGACCATTGGTTTTTTGCTGAAAGTCATTTGCCTTTTGGAGGAGAGAAGACAGTTAAGCAGCACTGCCACAGTCACCCCGTCTGCCACAGTCAGTGGCTGTTCTGCCACCAGTCAGTCTCCTGAAACCAAAACCCAACCAATCAAAAAAGCCCAAAACCAATCGGAAGAAACTAGGAAAAAAATTATTTTCTACCAAACAGCATTGAGAACCCTGTAGCATGTATTCCTAAAAAAAAGGTGAGGGATCAAAGTGTTAGCTTCATTCTTCAACGGCCAGCATCCGAGGAGGACTCTGGTGGTTCATCTGCCTTTGATCCTGATCTGTGTGTTCCTGAATCCAGTTCCTGTCTGTCACTGGGTCCAGTCTGGATGTCCTTCTGGTGACATCATCGGCATCCTGGGAGCTCAATACTGGTTTTGTATATATTGTATATAAGTCATTATTTTATTTTTTCATATGATCTTTTTATTATTAATATTTCTTTAAAGTAGTTTAGTCTCTTTTAAGCTCATAAGTCTCCCTCTATCCTTCTCTCCCTGAAGGGAGAGTGTGGGGAGAGCATCTGTCATTCGTTTCCGTGGCCAGTCCGGCCCAAACCATGACACGGGTATTGTTTTGGTTTTATTTATGTATACATTCCCTGAAAAAATCTTTAAATGGGAATATGACTTATTTCTATATACAATTATATACAGAAATCATCTTGCAGTTTTAAAGCTAATTTACTTCGCAGTGTATTTTAGTCATATAAATAAACATCCATTTCTTTAGATATGCTACAGGAATTGGAAATACCTGTGGATGTGGAATACCAGGGTGATGTGACAGATCCAGATGGCCAAGCTGAAACAGAAGTTTTCCACTTTGCCATGACCGACCACTGAACTCCATTTCTCTTAATAGTAGAACTTGGTATTTCCTGGGCTCAACATTGGGTTCTTTTACTCTACAACGATGTTAACGTTTACCATCTTCAAGCACGTACACAATTAGATAACTCAAACTTTGTTGACTGTACAAATTGCAAGTTCCAAGGTTAATAATAGGAGCCATGAGGTGAACTACGGATCCGCTCTGGAGTCCAGCACAGCCGTAAGGATGTGTTTATGAATTGCCTGTCACTAAGGTAACTCTCTCATTTTCAGAGGGAAGCACGGCCTGGAGGCCTGTCCCTAGCAACAGCTGGTGGAACACAAGGAGAAGCAGCTGCTGCCAGCAGCACTGACAGCCATGTTGCGAGGGAAGAAGAGGAGCCAAGCTTAAGAAAATAAAAGCATAATTCAATAATGACTACCAAAATCTGGCTTCGTTGACAGCGAGTACTCTTGGAAATTATCAGGCCTTCCAGGTATAAACTGATGGACAAACAGAGAAGTTTAGAGAGCAGCTGAGCCTGTAGCTGGAGCCGTGGCTGTTGAACTTCAGGCTGGGCACAGAGAGGGGTCAGAACACCACGGGCAGCCTCCCTCAGGCTGGAACAGGCACGTCTCAGGGCAGAGGCTGAAGCCCAAGTTTTACAGTCACATGAACATTCAACCACATTCACGCTGCTTAGTCCAAATCTGTACCTAATCTTTCCTGCCGGATCTGTGAGCCCTCCTCAGCACTCGTCCAGCCTTGCCAGCAGCATCCCAATTGCAGGCTGGAGCCAGCCTGACCCTGGCGTTAGCGGGCAGTTCTTGTTCTCTCCTGGGAGATTTCCAGATTGAGGGCACATGCTGCATTCTGTAAAACTGAAAAACATGAGTTTTTAGTCTTTGTCTTTTTCTTCATCACCACACAAGACTGTCAGAAGTGACCTGAACGCAGAAGTAGTAATACCGGCTTACGTAAGGGAGCCATTCAAAGTGGAAAGCGTTCTGAGCCTAGGACAAGAGAGCTTTTCAGGCTGGTAACGACCAGCACTGTCTCCATCCACTCGTTTGAGATAATTACTTTTTCTTGTCCTATTTTGCACCATGCCTTCAAAAAGGGCTACCTCATGGACTTCCAAATGGGCATGATGTAGGGTTTTTTGATGACTTCTTTGTTGCATAAACATTTCTTCATTACTCAGCTAAGCACACAACTGTTAATAGTGATTATTAGATAATGATAAAATGATAAATATTTTCGTTTTTTCTTGTAGGAATGACTACCCAATTGCAACCTTTACATGCTGTGCTGGTTTTGGCAGGGACAGAATTAATTTTGTTCGTAGTAGCTAGTATGGGGCAGTGTTTTGGATTTGTGCTGGAGACAGTGTTGGCAACACAGGGATGTTTTAGTTATTGCTGGGCAGGGCTTACACACAGCCAAGGCCTTTTCTGCTCCTCACACTGTCCCTCTGGTAATGAATGAATTCCTTGCTCTGCTTTGCCTGCACGCACAGCTTTTGCTCTTTCCTTATTAAACTGCCTTTATCACAACCCACTGAGTTTTTCCTCACTTTGCTGATTCTCTCCCCATCCCACCCAGGGGGAGCGAGCGAGCGGCTGCATGGGGCTGGGCTGCTGGCTGGGGGGAAACTGCAACACATGCCCCGACCCCCCAGTATCAGTTCCGTGCTCTGTAGTCGTAATTCGGTGCTGCAGAGGCAGACAGTGGCATTCTTTTTCATCCTGTTGCTCTAGTTGTTCAGGCTACACAACAGAGTCTGAGGAAGCACAGAGGGACACCTCCAGGAAATCACAAAAACCGCAGCTCTGCCATCCCAGAAGGCAGATGAGTGTGCTGATCCCTCTAACAGATGCACAGAAACAGATGAGTTTCATCATGAGAAAAAAGCAGCCTGGTTTTGGTGCCTGGCGAGAGAGCGCCATAAACTGAGCAAGCCTGACACTGAAAGCGTAGTGCAGAGACAGGGCTTCACGCTCCGCCCAGAAGAGTCTTTACCAGAAACAGTTTTGAATTTTCACAGTGATCAATTTTTATATTGGGTGCAGAGCTCAGCAGTGCTTTTGCAGCCATACCCATTAAATTGGTTAAAATAAGACCATTTTAAAAAACAAAATGCTTTTTCTTCTAGAGCCATACCTAGGGGTGAAAACATTTCCTCTTTATAGCCCCCGGAAGCAGCCTTAGCCTTTTGACATAAACACCTTTCCTTCAGGTGAGGATTTAGGCGACACCTAGAAATACTCTGAAGAAGTTTGTATTTGCAAGCAATGCAGGACAGATAACTGAAGTTCTATCCACTGATTTACCAGACAGGACTCATGCAGGAATTCTATTCCCACAGCCTGCAGAGTAGCAATTCAGAGAAACACGATTTGTGATTTAAAGCACCTGCAGTTCCACCCGAGGAGCTTTCGCCCAAACATTCCAAGACCCTTCCTTTCTCTGCAGCAAAACGTTCCTCAGATCAGCTCACGAACGGCGAGGTACCCAATGTAGTTACCAGAGATGGAGTAACCACTGTAGCTTTCTTATCCATTAAGATCACGTATTTAAATATGATCTGGAAAAAAAACACATTAGACATTCAAATGTGTTATTTTAGTCTAATTAAGGCAGGTAAGACAGTTACTTTACATATTGAAACTGTACTTCACACCTTGAAAATAAGGGAACTAAGGGATAATTTTGTTTTCCCCTCCACCAGCTCTAAAAATTTGTATTAGAATACAAATTCTGTACATTTCTTCTGATATCTTTTTATTATAGAACTATTGGCACAGTTCTGACACCTTGGTGATAGTATGGTATACTTTTTGATTAAGATCTTACATGGGCAGTGATTTCTGTTCGGATTGCCTGTCAGTGATTCATCATTAATACAAGCCAACAACGGGAGGTCCTGGGAATGAGGAGCTCAACAAAGAAGTCCTAAGGTCCTTCAAACACGTTGAAGTTAAGGGGGCATTAAGTTATTCTCTGTGATACCAGACTTGAATGGGTGTATGAAAAAGACATTCAAGTACATTACACGAGCTGGGACACCCCTCCGCACCCGCGGAGCGCCCTCCTCTCCCCGCCGGCCGCCGGGCCCGTCTCCCCTCACCCGCGGGGACCGTCCCTCCGGCAGCCGCGGCGGCCCAGGGGAAGCGCCGCGTTCCCCGCTGCGGCCGCAGAGCCTCCGCAGAGAACCCGCGCTGCCCGGGGGCCGCCGAGGCCGGGCGTGGAGCGGCGCGGAGGGGGCGGGAACGGAGTCGCTTCTCCTGCCGGGTGAGGGAGCAGCGGCGGCGGGAGCCCGGCCGGAAAGGAGGCGGCGGCGGCGGCGGAGGCCCACGCTGCAGG